CACCCCTCCTGAGGCTGCAGTACTGTAAGTACCACTCACGCAGCTGCTGTGAGGAGGGAGCGCCTCCAGGTGTAGCACTCTCAGTCGCAGCACCCTCTGGCTCAGTACCCTCAGACGTAGCACGTCCAGGCTCAGCACCCCCAGACTCAGCACCCGCAGGCTCCGCACCCCCAGGCTCAGCACCCCCAGACTCCGCAACCCCAGGCTCCGCACGCTCAGGCTCAGCACCCCTAGCAGGACGAGAGTCGACAGCTACCTCGACAGGCTCAACCGGGTCTACCTGGGACACACCTGAGGGAGCGGCACCCTGAGGGGGGAGGGGGTCTACCACAGCAGCACCTGGCGCGAGGAAGAGAGGCGGGGGGGGGAGCGGGGCAGTGCGGTAGGGGAAGAGGCGGTAGTAGGGCACCGACTCGTCAAAAGTGACGTCCTAAGAGGGCAGGACACGACGCGAGGTGGCGTGGTAAAACTGCCAACCAGACGCGTCCGGGACAAAGCCAAGGAAGACACAAGGAACAGCGCGGTAGGAGAGCTTGTCCGCGGACGTATCGCGAACAAAAGCTCCAGTTCCCCAGACCCGAAAACGCGACGCATCGCCAACCTCTCCCGTCCAACGCAGTGTCGGCGAAGTCTCCGGAACGGAGACACGGGGCCAGAGGTTGAGCTGATGCGCAGCGTATCGGACCGCAAACGGCCACAGAAAGTGGGGGGCAGCCGCATGGATCAAGGAGGTACGAGCGACCTCCATGACCAAGCCAATGCGGCGCTCAGCAACCCCATTCTGCTGTGGAGAGGCCGGAAGCGTGAACGACTGGTGGATGCCGTGCTCCGCACAGTAGGCTGCCAAGAGGTCGGAGGAGAACTCACCACCTCTGTCAGAGTGTAGACGCAGGACAGGAAAGTCCGAGTGAAACCGCTCGCTGAGCTGGAGACGAGAAGCGCGGATCCAAGGGATCAAAACATCAGGGACCTCACCCTTGGTGCGCAAGGGGAAGACCGTGGTGTAGCGCGAGTAGTCGTCAACAACGATCAGGAAGTACCTCTCCTGACCCTGTCCACGGACGCGGGCTGGGCCCCACACGTCCATGTGGAGTGTCTGCAAGGGAGCAGTCGTCGGGGGAAACGAGGAGGAGTGAGGAGCGGCGCGCTGCCGCCCCTCGACACAGGGAAGACAGGGAGGAGCAGGCGAGGGTGGTAGGGGAGGGAGAATCCTGGGAAGACCAGAGACAAGGTACCGTTTGTGCATGCCACGAAGGCGCTGCACTGACGGGTGACCAAGGCGGTGGTGCCAGAGGACGGTCTCGTGCGCTAGAGAGCGACACGAGCAGGGGGGCGACAGCTGACCTGACGCAGACGCAGACGCAGCTACCTGAGGGGACTCAGTGGTCAGTGTGTACAGGTCCGACCCCGGCTGCCGAGTGAAGGTAGCCAGGTGACGGCCCGTCCGAGCACACGTGCAGTGTGTCACGCGCTCGTAGGCAGGGGTGAACTGGTGGACACCCCCGTCCTGGAGCGCACAACCCGCCACCAAGTTCGTAGAGAACGAGGGGAGGTGGAGACCTGACAGTGTGCCCGACGGAACCGCAGGACAAGGAAGGACAGTGGAGGAGGTCGCAATGACCGGACCCCCAGAGGGGTCAGCGAGGGAGACAGCAACTGGCCGAGCAAGCTGCTCAAGGGCAGTGCGGTCACGAAAGAAACAGCGAGAAGCACCTGAGTCGAGAGTGAAGGTGTGCAGTGCCTCAGTAGACTCAGTACCAGGGGGCGCAGACTAACTAGCACCTAGAGCAGCAGCCTCACCAGCACCTGGGGCAGCAGACACGCGAGTACCTGGAGCGGCAGCCTCACCAGCACCTAGGGCAACAGACGCACTAGCACCTAGAGCGGCATCCTCACTGGTCCGAATGCCCGGGTCGGGCGGAACACGCAGGTACTGATCACCCTCTCCACTAGTAGACAACACATACATGGCAGTGAGAATAGCATCAAAGTCAAGAGCATAGATATCAATGTTCTTCCTCATCAGATCAGCCCAGCGGGGCAGCTCAGTGGCAGTAGGGAACTGAGTGCGCCAAGCGTCGTCGAGGCGGGAGAAGCAGCGCTGCGTGGTGTGCGCCCTCCCACACGTCTGGCCAGTGCGGTCACCAGTGCGGATGACATACGTGCAGCTAAGGCCACCCCCCCCCCCCGTACTGAGAGTACCACTCACGAAGCTCCTGGGACGACGGAGTGTGCTGTTGGCTCTGGCCACCGCCAGCGCCTCCACGACCACCACCGCTGCCGCCACCACCTCTACCATCACCGCCCCTGCCGCCGCCTCGTCCACCGCCGCCCCCACCACCGCCCCCACCCCGGCCACCTCCTCCGCCGCTGCCGCCACCACCCCCACCGCTGCCACTAGTCCCTCCAGCCCCGCCACCGCCCCCACCGCCGCCACCGCCCCCACCACCGCCTCCCCCGCCGTCACCTCCACCTCCCTTGCCCCCTTTGCCCTTGCCGCTGCGGCGCCAGCTCGGAGTGGACGCAGTCCCGACCTGCTCAGTACCAACGAGGTCGACAGCAGCAGCAGAGGCGACAGAGGGGAGAAGGGGGGAAGGGGAACACCCCTCGAAGAAAGGAGTGCGGGGGTCGCCACGAGAGGCACCTAAAGCGACTATGCTAGTCTCGGCTGCAAGCAGTTCCTTCTCGAGCAGGTCAACGGTGAGCTCAGTGGGGCAGCGAGCGAGGAAGTGGTCCCTGACCGCACGAAGAGAGTCAGGGAGACGGGTGACCAGGTGGTAGAGAGTGAGCCAGAGCGGGGGGGGGTTCTTGGCAAGAAACTCAGCGGGCATTGCGGCACGGAAGCGGGCCTCACTAGTGCGGAGGTGCGTGATGAGGTCAGCGACTGTGGAGAAAGCGGACAGGTCTGGGAACAGGTAGGGGAGCGAGAGACGGCCTAGCGCAGCAGAGGCAGGTGAGGAGTAGCGTGCAACTACAGCAGTGTACAGTGCCTGCGGAGTTTTGTGCTGGCCAAAGTGCTCGCGCTCATCTACCGGCAGGGAGTTGCGAATAGCGAAGCGAGCGTGGGCGTCACGAGTCTGCCACTGTGAGCGGGCAGTACTGTCAGCAGTAGCAGCAGGGGCAGCAGCAAGTCCTAGTGCGTGATCGTACAGCGAGATATCCTCCTTGGCAGTGAGCTGGAGGAACAGGTGCAAGTCATCTAGCCAGGTGTCAAACTTCAGCGGGCGGCCCTCAGCATCGAAAGCGAGCACAGCAGGGCTAGCCATAGTTGTAGGAGGAGCAGTAGCAGCAGTAACAGTGACAGTAGAAGCGGCGCGGCTCGGTAGGGCGGCGCGGCTTGGTAGGGCGGCGCGGCTCGGTAGGGCGGCGCGGCTCGGTAGGGCGGCGCGGCTCGGGCCGGGCGATTCGGTTCGGTGGGGCGGCTCGGCTCGGCTAGGCGGCGGCTACTCGAGGTGGGGCACGCGAGGGCGTGCAGGACAGAGCGGGGCCGGTCCGCGTGGGGCACGAAATGGCGGCTAGCGGGGCGGGGCCTGGTCGCACGGGGCACGCAAGGGCGAGCTAGAGGGGCGGGGCCTGGTCGCACGGTGCAAGGAAGAGCGGGCTAGCGGGGCGGGGCCGGTACGCGAGGGGCACGCAAGGGCGCGCGGGTGGGTGTGGGCCGGTCGCTCGGGGCACGCAAGGGCGCGCGGGTAGGCGGGGCCGGTTCGTAAGGAGCGCGCACGGGCGCTTGGGGCAGCTGGCGCTCGGGGCCGCACTAGGCACGCAAGGGCGCGCGCGGGGCAGGCTAGGCGCGTGGGGCTGCACGGGTCGCACGCGAGGGCGTGTGAGGAAGGCGGGCCCGATCGCATGGGGCACGCTAGGGCGTGCGGGCTAGGCGGGGCCGATCGCGAGGGGCATGCTAGGGCGCGCGACTGTGAGGGAGAGAGGAGGGCGCTCGAGGGCGCGACTAGGCGAGGCGCGCTAGGGCGCGACTAAGCGGAAACGGTGGGCCCGATCGTTCGGTCCTAGGTTACGACCTAGGCTCGCGATACCATGTTAGAAACTAAGGATGAACGAGAATGGATGAACTAGCAGAAAGTTGGGTACAAGTAGGAAACCCTAAGTTTGTTGTACCCCCTAAGGCTAAACCCACTATAGCCTACACAATGTAAACATATAATGTTTGACAGGTGGGCCCGACCCGGGCCGGGCCCGGCCCGCCCGGTGCTCATCCCTGCTCCCTGCCGCCCACCCACACCCCTTGTCACCACCACCCACCTCTCCACCCCCCCCAAACCTTCCACCTCCTCCCCCCTCCCCCCCTGCACGTGTGCAATCGGACGCCCGCAGTGGCGTCTACCTGCGGTACGTGAGTCTGCTCTTCAGCGACAGCATATACCTGCCGGACGAGGCACTCCACAAGGTACCGCGGCTCAAGGAGGAGGAGGCGGCCATGGCGGACAAGGACCGCTGGCTGCAGCTGCCGCCCGCGGAGAGGCAGGCGCGCCAGCAGGACTACCGGAGGGACGAGTCGGTGGGTTCTTTTGGGGGCTTGGCGGTGGGCTCGTGGGGGTGCGTGGGATCGGTGGGCTTGTTGCGGTGCGGCTGGTGGGTGGGTTGGGGTTGTTGGGGGCTAGACGTGTTTTGGAAAGGCTTAGTCCCCGCCACCTTGCTGCATTCACGGCCCTTGGCGCTACTGTGCCGTGGCCCGTCTAGGCCATGGGTTTCCTTCCCAGCGCCCTGTCTCATGCCGTGAGGTGCTTGTCCGCCTGTCCACCCACCCTGCATGCATGGGATGGGATGGAGGTGGGGGTGATGGTGATGGGGTGGCATGTGCGAGATGGTCAAGAATTCTAGCCACACACCACCTCTTAAAGCCTGGCCTCGTATGGTCCCTCCCACAGGGTCCCATTCTGCACCATCTTCGCTTAGTTACCTCTGCTCCCTCTCCCAACCTAGCCTCATCTCCCCTCTCCCCCACCCTCTCCTCCCCTCTCTCTGTGTTCACCGCCCCGCACCAGTCGTTCCCCTGGGCAGTGGCAGTGATGGGTTGGGTGCTGCCAGGGGACGTGGTGCGGCCGTTCATGGGGCTGGCAGCGCATGCCACGGCACGTGCAGCGAAGGCTATGGATGTAGCAATAAGCTCGGCCACATCCCCAACGAATTCCTTGAGCCCATCCAGGTGTGTGGCGGCCTCTATACTCCGTCCTCTCCGTCCTTGCGTGTGCTCTACTCTGCTGTGCCATTTCGTGCCGTGCCGCACTGTGCTGTGTTGTGTTGTGTTGTGCCATGCTGTAGCCCTGCTCTGTTCTTTGTCTCTGTTTCCTGTGCTGCAGCCCCTCTGCTTCTTCACTCTCCAGCCCGTGCGCACCTCATGCCGTGTGTCCTCACGTGTGCTGCATTGCTTCAGCCGCCTGGCTGCTGGGTGCTCGTTCCCCCTACCCTCACCCCTTCCCCCGTGCTGCTGCTCCCTGTGCGTGCGTGGCAGTGCACGTTGATGCGTGACCCGGTGACGCTGCCATCGGGCAACGTGGTGGACCGCCCTGTCATCCTCACACACCTGCTCAACCACCCGGTGCGTGCTCCATGCCATGCCATGCCATGCCATGCCATGCCATGCCATGCCATGCCATACATGCCATGCCATGCCACACCATACTATGAGATGCACAAGGGCATCCAGCTGTTCCATGCACGAGCCATCACTTAAAGGCCATGCGCCACAGTGAGCCACATGCCATGCATATCACCGCCACCCCCACACCACCTCTCTGTTTGTCCATAGCCGTGCTAGCGTAGGGATCCCCAGGGTAGCCCAGGGCAACTCTAGGTAAGGGAAGACGCCCAGGGAAGACCAGGGATGCAAATCATAGAATCAGGGTAGCACAGGGTAGAAGGGTATGAGGGCAAAACGCCGGATCCACGTAGATATGAGGGCGAATTGCGGTCCCGCGCGGATATGAGGGTGAAATGCCGGATCCGCGCGGATATGAGGGCGAAATTCCGGACCCGCATCCTCCCTCGCCCTTCCCCTTGCTCGCCCTTCCCTTTGCTCGCGTAGGGATCCCCAGGGTAGCCCAGGGTAACCCTAGGTAAGGGAAGACGCCCAGGGAAGACCAGGGGTGGAAAGAATAGAAACAATGTAGCACAGGGTAGAAGGGTATGAAGGCGAAACGCCTGATCCATGCGGATATGAGGGCGAATTGCGGACCCGCGTGGATATGAGGGCGAAATGCCGGAACCGCGCGGATATGATTGCGAAATGTTGCTCCCACATCCTCCCTCGCCCTTCCCCTTGCTCGCCCTTCCCTTTGTTCGCGTAGGGATCCCCAGGGTAGCCCAGAGTAACCCTAGGTAAGGGAAGACGCCCAGGGAAGACCAGGGATGGAAAGAATAGAAACAATGTAGCACAGGGTAGAAGGGTATGAGGGCGAAACGCCGGATCCATGCGGATATGAGGGCGAATTGCGGACCCGTGCGGATATGAGGGCGAAATGCCGGATCCGCGCGGATATGAGGGCGAAATGCCGGACCCGCATCCTCCCTCGCCCTTCCCCTTGCTCGCCTCTTTCTTTGCTAGCGTAAGGATCCCCAGGGTAGCCCAGGGTAACCCTAGGTAAGGGAAGACGCCCATGGAAGACCAGGGATGGAAAGCATAGAAACAGGGTAGCACAGAGCAGAACATCAGAGATCAGGGGAGAATAGAGGAAAACAGGGGAGAACAGGGGAGAACAGAGCCTTCTGTTCTCTCGCCCTTTTTCCTTCCCCGCCCTTCCCTCTCTTCGGCCTTCCAGTTCTTTGTCTTATGAGACATGAGCAGAGAGTTTCTTGTCTCTCTTTAAGACATTTTTCGATAGAACAAAATTGCGAATGCACGAAGCTAGACTACCCCGCCCTCCCCTACTCACCCTCTTCCGTCACCGAAGGTTCGGCCCGCCAGTCAAGCTTGACCTGCGAGTCCTGTGACCAGCCCTTACGAAGCTGAGCTGGCCTGAAACAAGCCCTGAAATATCCGGAAAGCAGCCGAATCTAGCCGTTAATTTCGGGCCTCTTTGATTTCTGCCCTGAGCCATTCGCTTAGAAAGCGTAATTCAGCTACCTACTCTACCGAGCAGAGCAGGCTGGTTGTGGAGGGTAGATGGTTGCGAGGGAGAGAAGAGGGACACGTACTCGGTCAGGAAGAACGAGGGGAAGGAAGGAGTGGGAGGGGGGAGACCACAGTTGAGTTCACTCCACTCAAAGTTGCTTCACTTCGTCTCAGTCCGAATCGTCATCACGCTTCATGCTCATTTCCCTCCCTCACCCTCCCCTCCCTCACCTTTCCTTTATATGCCTGCATGTTCCCCTTTCTATCCCCTCAGCCAGCAAATATTTTTTTTCTTGCAAGATGCTTCAGATGCTCCCTCTCCCCACTTGCCAACCCGTCCTCTCTACTCCCTCGCCTGACACATGGCACGGCATGGCATGGCACGCCATTGCTCGGCTTGGCAGGGCATGGCAGGAGAGGGCACAGCATTGCACCGCATGGCAGGGCATGTCATGGGATGGCATGTCATGGCATGGCATGGCATGGCATGGCATGGCATGGCAAGGAAATGGCAGGCACGTGGCGAGAAGAAGGGAGTTGGGTGGCCCTCTTGCCGTGCACGCGCTCCTCCCTCCTGCGCCCACAGCTGCTCGCCCACCCGCTCCTCCCTTTCCTCCTGCATGGAGTGAGGGAGGGGCGCGTTGCATGGTTGAGGTGCGTGGTGCATGGGGTGAGGGGCACTCCACCTGCAATCCTGCCGGCGCGCACTCACCATCCATCCACGTACACCCGCTTCCCCTCTCTCTTTCCTCCCGTCCTCCCGCCCACCCCCTACCCCTGTCCCCCACACCACCCTGCTTGACCTCCCTGCTCCCCTTCCTCGTGCGCCTCTGCCTCTCCCCCTCCCCCTTTCCCCTGCAGGCGCGGCGTGCTGCTGCTAGAGGCGCTGGTGTTGCCCCTGCATCGTGCGCCCCGCCTCGCCCTCTGCCACCTCGTCACATGCTCGCACGCCTCCCCATCCGCCACCCACCATTCTTCCTCTCCTTTCCTCGTCCTTCCTTCGCACCTCCGCGCCCCTCCCCCTCGCACGTCCGCACTGCTGCTGCTGCTGGTGGTGGTGGCGAAGGTGGTGGGGATGGCGGCGGTGGCAGTGGCACGGTGGTGCGGCGAAGGAAGAGGAGAGGCGTGAGGCGCCGTGGCGTAACGAGGAGGCCTTTCGTGTTCTGCTCTGCGCGCTGTGATCTGCCTGTGCATGTCCTGTTCTCCACATGCTCCTTCTCCCATGCCCACTCCCACCCCACCCACCTCGCTCATCCACATTTCAGACGTCGCATGGCGTGCCATGGCATGGCGTGGCATGGCGGCGTGGCATAATGTGGCATGGCGGCGTGGCATAATGTTGCATGGCGTGACATAACGTGGCATGGCGTGGCATAATGTGACATGGCAAGGCATAATCCGGCATGGCAAGGCATGGTATGGTACGGCATGACTTGGCATGGTATGGTACGGCGTGGTTTGGCATGGAATGGCATGGAATGGTGTGGCATGGAATGGAATGGCGTGCATGACATGGAATGCCCTGGCATGGTATGGCATGGTGCAGTGCTGAGCAGGCATGTTGGGAGCTTGGACCATGGCTGGGGTGGGCAGGCAGGCGGGCCGCCAAGGCTGGGAGCATGGGCACAGGGACAGGAGTGAGTGGAGGCGACATGCTCACCTGTCGCCACGGCGAGGCCAGCCAATGTGCCTGTGCTGTGGTGCTGTGGTGTGGCGAGAGCAGCACGAGCGGACTTGCATTGCTTCCCACCACGCCACGCTCTGGGTGATGGCCACACCAATGATCAGGGCGACAGGTGATGGGCCATGGTTGATGGGGGATGGTTGGTGGGGGATGGGGCATGTGTGATGGCCGATGGGGGATGGGGGATGGGGGAAGGAGGATGGGGTTTGGGGGATGGATGATGGGTCCCTTTCCTGTACCGCTCTCATGTTTCAATCTCCCTTCCCTTCCCCACCCTTCCCCTTCCCTCGCCCTTCCCCTCCCTTCCCTTCACGTTCGTTGTCTTATGAGACATGAGCAGCAGTTTTTTTTTCCCTGGCTTAAACAAGGTTCGACGAAACATGGTCGCGAATGCACACAAGCAACCCCACCCTCCTTCCCCCCCCTGTCCCCCAAGTTTCGGCCCGCCAGTCAAGCTCATGTCCTTCCCCTCCCTCGCCCTTTTCCTTTCTCGCCCGCCCCTCTCTCTCTTTTGCAGGTGTGAAGCTGCGATGGGGCATGCGAGTGGGTGCGAGTGGGTGCGATGGGGCATGCGAGTGGGTGCGATGGGGCATGCGAGTGGGTGCGAGTGGGTGCGATGGGGCATGCGAGTGGGTGCGGGTGGGTGAGAGCGTGCTGGTCGCGGGTGTTCAGCCTGGGCGCATGCCTCGATCATGCCTCGTGCCGCCAGGGACTAGCCACATGGCTCAAAGCTCATGCATGGTGGGTGCTGCCTGATGCTTGATGGCTGATGGTGGGTGGGGGATGGGAGGTGGGCGATGGGAGGTGGGTGATGGGAGCGGAGTAACCACAGGGGTGTGCAAAGGTTAGAAATGCTAACTATAGGCGTTCAGACGAGGCCATGAGTGTGAAGACCTGCCCGCTCTCCCCCCTCTCATCTCTCACGCCACCGCCCTCCACCAACGCCCCCCATTCCATTCTGCCTGGTACCTTGTGCTGCACTGCTGCCGCCACCCACACGCCCACGTCCCCCTGCTGTGGCGTCACCACAACACGACGCACGCGCAAGGCACTTGCGCACAAGGCGCTCTCCCCCCCCCCCTCCACCCAATCATCATCTTTCCTCCACCAACGCTACTGTCATTTCCTGTATATGCCTGCATGCTCCCCTTTCTCTCCCCTCAGCCACCAAAGAAAATCCTTCTCTTGCGAGATGCTTTACATTAAATGAGCATCGATTCAAGTGCTTCAAATGGTCCTTCCTCTCTTCCCCTTGCTCCCTCTCCTGACATGGCATGGCATGGCACGGCATGGCAGGGAACAGCATTGCTCGCCATGGCAGGACATGGCATGGCAAGGCATGCCCAGAAGAAGGAAGCTCGCTCGACGCAGCTCGCTCACCCTCCCCCCTCCACGTGCTCCTTCCCCTCCTCCTCCGCCCACAGCTGCTCGCACACCCGCTCCGCCCGCAAGCCTTTCCCGCGTGGCTCGCTGCACCGGTGTGCTCCGCGCACGCCATGGGGATGACACACACGCAAGGGGAGTGTGGCTTAGCGACGGTGAGTGGCGCGCGCTGCATGGGGTGAGGGGCACGCTGCATGGGGTGAGGGGCACGCTGCATGGGGTGAGGGGCACGCTGCATGGGGTGAGGGGCACGCTGCATGGGGTGAGGGGCACACTGCATGGGGTGAGGGGCACGCTGCATGGGGTGAGCGGCACGCTGCATGGGGTGAGCGGGGCGGTGCATGGGGTGAGCGGGGCGGTGCATGGGGTGAGCGGGGCGGTGCATGGGGTGAGCGGGGCGGTGCATGGGGTGAGCGGGGCGGTGCATGGGGTGAGCGGGGCGGTGCATGGGGGCATGGTGCATGGGTGTTCCTTACGGGGGGTTGGGTGCTTGGAGCCGAAGGGGCGCTCCGCCTGCACATCTCGCCCGCTTGCATCCACCTTCCCATCCACGCACACCCTCCTCCCCGCTCTCTTTCCTCCCGCCCACCCCCCTACCCCAGTCCCTCACACCACTCTGCGTAATCCCATTGCTCCCCTTCCTCCTCCGCCTCCGCCTCTGCCCCTCCCGGTCCCCCTTTCCCCTGCAGGCACGGCTCTGCTAGAGGTGCTGGTGAAGGCCATGCTCCGCGTGCGGATGCCACTGCCCACACTCGCCACTCTCGTGCGCTACTTGGCTCTTGGCATCATGCGCCCCGCCCCGTCCCGCCCTCTGCCGCCTCGTCGCATGCTCACACGACTCCCGCCCGCCCCTCCTTCGCACCTCCACGTACCGCCCCCTCGCACGTCCTCACTGCTGCTGCTGCCGGTTGTGGGGGTGGTGGTGGTGGTGGTGGGGATGGCGGCGGTGGCAGTGGCACGGTGGTGCGGCGTGTGGCGCCGTGGCGTGGCGAGAGGCCTTTTGTGTGCTCCTCTGCGCTCTGTGAGCTGCCTTGTGCGTGTCCGATGTGGGGCGCGGTGAGTGGGGGAGGGGGAACGGAGGTGGGAGACTTGAGTCTGGATGGGTGATGGGTTTGGGTGATGCGTGGGCGGATGTGAGTCGGTGCATGCGCTCTTGCAGTGAGCACGAATCATCGGTTTTCACCTACCTCGCCATGCCTCTCCCTCCCTTCATCCATCCCTCCGTCCCCGCCTCACATGCGCACTGCACTCCTCCTCCCTCCGAATGCGTCCCTTCCCACCCCGCCTTTTCCCCCCCGGTTGGCAGGGCTGGGGCTGAGCGAGGAGGTGCAGGCGATGGCGGGAGTGACACGGCACGTGGTGCATTGCTGTGAAGGGCGGGGATGAGGCCAAAGCGGAGCTCCAAGCACTCGATCTCTGCACCACCTGTGCCACGCCAAGCTGTGCGCCCTCTCACTCGCCCCTTCTCTGTGCTCCAAGGGTGAAGCCTCCTGCACTTCTTGCAACACCCCAATTGCATGGTCATTCACTCCCCCGCTCAGTATGTCACTCCTGTGCCGAGTCCATTCATGCCACTTCATTTATCCTCCTCCTCCGCTGTCCCACCTCCTATCCTTTCCCACCTCCTCGTCTCGCACTTGTCTTGTAACTCACCTTTCTGACTTCTTCCCTGCGTGCCCCCTTCCCCGCGTGCCCCCTTCCCCGTGTGCCCCCTTAACTGCGTGCCCCCTTTCCCTGCGCCCCCCTTTCCATGCACCCCCCTTTCCATGCACCCCCCTTTCCCTGCGCCCTCCCCCCAGGAGGCAAGCTGCCCAAGGGAGTGCTGCTGGTGGGAGCTCCCCCCGGGACTCGGGCAAGGCGATGCTGGCGCGGGCGATAGCGGGCGAGGCGGCGGGGGTGCCCTTCGTCGGCGCGCCTCAGGAGGCGGCGCCCTGCATCGTGTTTCCGGCTGGGCGATATAGACGCCACGTCATAGGCGGCAGTCGCAACGCACTTCCAAGGAGGGCCAGCAGTGCATTGCACTTCCAAGGGGATGACGCGGGGCTCAATCAGCTGCTGGTGGAGCTGGGCTGGGCGTGCTTGTGCTTGCCACGTGCTCGTGCCTGATCCCGATGTGGACGGGCGGCGGCAGATCCTCGAATACCACTTCGCAAGGTGCAGTGCGGTGGCCGTGGGTGCTGCATGCATGGGTGCTGCATGCGTGGGTGCAGAGAAGTGTGCTGCAGCACATTCAGCTGACTATTGCAATTTTACAACTCATTTTATATTGCTCAATCCGCTTGTTGTGAGAAATGCATGAGCTACAAAACTTGTTTCCATCCTCTGTTCTTTCTCTGTCTTGTCTCCCCGTTTCCACCATGCCACGCTCCCCTCCTCTCCTCTCCTCCTCTCCTCTTTTCCACTCCTCTCCCTGTGCCTCCTTTCCTCCACTGCAGCAGTGCATGCATGCCTAGAGCTCCTCTCATCATTCGTTCCTCCGCCTGCCCCTCTCATATGGCATTGTGCAACGCCATGATTGTACGTGGCATGATGGCATGACACATGGCATGGCATGGCATGTGGCAATGGCCCTTGGCTTTGGTGTGCAGGGTGGCTTGGCGTGTGGCATGGTGGCATGGTCTGCAGGTGGGCAGGTGTTGGGGCTGGCAGGGCAACTGCCGCAGCATCCCTGCCATGGGAGTGTGCTGCATAGCGGCGGGGTGCAAGGCGGTGCAGGAGGTGCGGTGGTGCGCTCCACGGTCCACCTCTCCTACACCAAGGCAAGCCAACCCACTCGCCTCGCCCCCAACCCATCGCCCACACTCCCTCCCTTCCTTGCTTCCATATTCCCTCTCACGCAATGTGCCCAATTCTTTCCCCTCCAATCCCTTAATCTTTCCTACTCTCCCCTCCTCTCCCCGTCTCCCGCTGACGTTATCTCCCACCCCCCCCCACTGTCTTGGCTGGCTGGCAGGTGACGGAGGCGGCTATGCCACTCAGGTCAGGTACCACTCGGGGCACGCAGGTCGCAGGTCGCACCCAGGGCACTCAGGTACCACTCGGGGCAGGTCTAGCGTTCGTTTGACGCGCTGACGCACCATGTCCGAGGGCATCACGCTCTGACAAGTAGGAAACAAAAATGCCCGAGCAGGCAAAACAAAGCGGCAGCAGAGGAACTCCACCGCCAACAAGAGTGGGAGTAAGCAGAGAGAAGGACATGTGGGGAAAAAAACGGCTTGGCAGGAGCGAATGCTGAGAAATTGGTCGATGGATAATGAAACCCTTGAAAGCGTGGGAAATGAGAGTCGGAGTTGAGATTGTGGCATGAGGGTTGGGTTGAACAGAATCTTCACGGTGAAGGGTGCTAGGTGGCATGGGTTTGTTTTGGGGTCGATTGTGAGGTGTTTCTGACGAGTTGGTCCTGGGGATCGTGATTTCGTCGCAAATCGTGACTCATACATTCTTCGCGGATTATTCCCGATTCTGTACGATTTCGGGCTGCCAAAACGTTTTACCCTGAGCGTCAAGCGTTTTGACGTTTTGACGCTTGACGCTACCCCTTTCTAGCATCAAATCCATCATTGGGGTAACCCTAGGTAAAGGAAGACAGCTCGGGAAGACCAGGGATGGAAAGCATAGAAACAGGGTAACACTGGGTAGAAAGGTATGAAGGCAAAACGCTGGACCCGCGCCGATATTATTGCTAAATGCCGGACCCGCATCCTCCCTCGCCCTTCCCCTTGCTCGCCCTTCCCCTTGCTCGCCCTTCCTCTTGCTAGCGTAGGGATCCCCAGGGTAGCCCAGGGTAACCCTAGGTAAGGGAAGACGCCCAGGGAAGACCAGGGATGGAGAGCATAGAAACTGAAAGCACAAGGCAGAAGGGTATGAGGGCGAAACGCCGGACCCGCGCGAATATGAGGGCCAAATGCCGGATCCGCGCGGATATGATTGCTAAATGCCGGACCCGCATCCTCCCTCGCCCTTCGCCCTTCGCCTTCGCGCTTCCCCTTGCTCGCCCTTCCTCTTGCTAGCGTAGGGATCCCAAGGGTAGCCCAGGGTAACCCTAAGTAAGAGAAGACGCTCAGGGAAGACCTGGGATGGAAGAATAGGAACAGGGTAGCACAGGGTAGAAGGGTTATGAGGACGAAACGCCGGACCCGCGCGGATATGTGGGCGAATAGCGACCCGCGCGGATATGAGGGTGAAATGCTGGACCCGCGCGGATATGAGGGCAAAACGCCGGACCCGCATCCTCCCTCGCCCTTCCCCTTGCTAGCGTAGGGATCCCCAGGGTAATCCTAGGTAAGGGAAGGCGCCGAGGGTATACCAGGGATGGAAAGCATAGAAACAGGGTAGCACAGGGTAGACAGGTATTGGGGCGAAACGACGGACCCGCGCGGTGGCAGATACGCGTTTCGAGTATCATACGCTAGTTGCAAGTACGAATTGAATACTGGCGGATTCGATTTGAGTATGGATGTGCCACGAATACGCTTATCATGAATGGCTTTTTCCTCCGCGTTCCGTCTCAAAGTAGACTGCGCTACACATGGTATACGCCACAAAATTGAAAAGCTTATATTTCCACAGTCCATAGTTCATTATATAGGGGGAAAGAGGCGAAGAGATGTAGACACAAATGTCCCTCGAGTTCTATAATACTTGTTTTTCGATCGAATACACGCGAATATCATGCCAGATTCAAATTCGTTTTTCAGTGAAATATTCGATAGAATACCAAATATCATTTGAACGGCGAATACTCGTTTACAGGCATGGAGCATCCCATCATGCCACCCTCGCTTCCCAGTCCCCCTCGTTCCATCCCTTCCCTCCCTCCCCTTCCCCCTCCCCATTTCCTCTCCCCCCCTTACTCCCGCAGTCAGCCTATCTCGGGGGGCTCCTCCTGGAGCAGCCTGCGAGGCACCTTAAAGTCACTTCCTAATTTCTTGCTTCTTTCCCCGCCCCTCCAGCCGCGTTCTTTCCTGTGTCTACTGGGGCGCCCTGCGTGCCGTTCCGCCGCAGCGCATGCTGGGGGATAGCAAGGGAGTGGCGGCAGGCGCTGCAGCAGCCCAAGTGAATGCTGGATGGCGGGTATGCGACGGTGAGATGGGTGGGGTGCTGTGATATAGGATGGAATGGGATGGTTTGTGGGATGGGAAGGGGTGGAGTGGCTGTGATGGGATGTGGGATGGGATGGGATGGGATGGGATGGGGTGTGGGATGGGTGTGGCTCTGCTTCGCGCACATTACATTTCGTTGTGTTGTGTGTGCGCTCATCGTGCAATTGTCGCCTTCCCATGATAGCCTGCTCTACGCCATGACACTCACCATTACACCCTTCATGCCGTCATGTCATTATGCATGGACGGATAGTAGGAAAGGGATGGGACGGGAGAGAGGGAAGGGGAGGGATGGGAAAAGCGGGGAATGCATGGGGACAGGAGGGGGGAGGGACAGAATAGGGGGAAAAGGAAGGGACGGGAGAGAGGTAAGGGGAGGGATGGGACCGGGGAAAGGAGCTGGCCACTGGCATGGCAATGCCTGTGGCTGTCATGGCACTCAACAGTACCCGCGGTCATTGCATCTACCACTGGCCTCAGCTGCAGCTACTTACTCGCCACCCACCTGATGCTCCCCACCCCACCCGTAGCTCCGTTGCCGCCCGTCGCGCTCTTGCCAGTTTTTGCGCGAGTGCAAAACGCCCCAGACACACCAAAGAAAAAGAAAAGAATAGTAGTTTGTGAGGTGCGAAATAATGCAAATGTTCTAGTGCGCACTAAGAAATCGGGGAGGCGCGATAGATGTGGGTGAGGATGAGTGCGTTTGAGTGCAAGTTGGATCGCGGTGCAGAATGTATGACATAATCATGCTCACATCCCCGCAGTCGCATGGTTGCCGCAATAAGTCAAACTCAGACGGCGGCGAGAAAATGTGCTCCAAGCTCCTCACATGCTCACTTGGCACTGCGTGCACCAGCAGCTGCCAGCACACAGCTCGTTTCACTGTTTCAACTGAGAAGTACACCAATGTCGCAGGCAATAGCTGACAGTCGCACGCAACACGAGCAGTAGTGCTCCCATACAGCATCGATTTATAGACGTAAGCAAATATGCTGCACGCAGTGGCTCGCTCGTTTCATTACGATTGCTGCACACAGTAGCACCAACTGAAAGTGCATTTCTGCATATTGTTCCTTCGCCATGCGCATTTCCGCTGTGCGCCCCAAATGACATGCCGGTCCCGTCATGTCGCAGCTCGGCACCGCAGGTTTCCGTCTGCTCGCTCAATGCTTGACACATGACAAGTCTTGGACGTCCACTCACGCCATCGCATCCATGCCCGTGGATCCATCGCCGTAGGCTGTCTCGATGGGGACTGAAACAAATATGTCTATAAATAACTACCCAATGTAGATGCAAATATATATAGATTGTATATTTAGGGGAGAAATGAGGCTGGGTGGGCTCAGATAAATTCGCCCATGTTGATTCGCAGAACTGGCGAAGTTCGAATTGTTTTGATTGAGCCCGCATTCTGATGGTTACTTCGCATGACGGCCTGTGTGTGGAGTATTCGTCGGTGTCAGTGGGCCTTGAGGGGTTGAGCGCGTCAGCAATGGATTTGGCGGTTCGCAGAAACAGTTTGTAGCTGGTGCAACTGTGTGCAGTGGGCTCAGCAATTTTATGCAGCGACCGGCTCTTTGCTCGCGATCATACGAGTAGTAAACGCGAGTCGCGCAGCTTGAGCGTGAGCATCGAAGCCTGTGCGCGGGAGGCCATGGGAGCTGCTGGTGCCGGTGGGCCGACGCGTGTACGTTCCGCTCGGGTGGATTAGTGCCTTGGTAGGACTGCGCAGTGCGGTTGTAGTGAGGATTTTAATCGTCTGATAGTGCTTGACGCACGTTGAATCTTCGCTAGCGCCTATCGGATTGTGAATAGAAAAGCGTGTTATTTATTGTTGGCTTGCGTCAAACTTCTAGATTTTATTCGAAGGGAAATGCTTTCCCATTGCTGCTGACTTTGAGCGCACATCGATTCGCGGTACTCCGTATTTCCTTCGTTGGACGCACGCATATCGTTTTTCAGTTCCTCCAGATTACGCGTCGTTGCGAGTTTTTTAGTTTCAGCTTCTCCCAACCCCGCCTCTCCCTCCGTTCCGCCAAAGGCGCAGTCGCCTGGTCTAACCGCGCGTCTTCCCCAACCTTCTCCCCCCCCCTTTCCCCCCTGAGTGCGGGTCAGACGCGAGCATATGGGTGGTGCAGTTGCCCAAGGCGATGCGCGACGAGCGCGGGGAGCTGCTGCCAGGCGCGCACGTGCTGGGCTTCCTGCGGCGCGTGTGCAAGTTGCTCTTCCTGCGCATCCGCCCGCTCATCGTTTTCGACGGCGCCACGCCCGCGCTCAAGCGCCGCACCGTCCTTGCGCGTTGCCGCCAGCGAGAGAACGCGCAGATCAACCTGCGCAGGACGGCGGAGAAGCTGCTGCTCAACCAGGTGCGCGCGGCCAGGGGGAGAAGGGGGAGACAGCGAGGCTTTATTCAATGGGATACCGGAGGCGGTGCAGTGGTTTGTGGTTGTCCGCACATGTCTTTGTCTGTGGATTAGAGTTTAGGAACTTGCAACTTAAATGAAATGAACTTCCATCCCCCCTCCCCATGCCCCTCGTATTCGCTGCATGGCTACCAGCCGGAGGTGGCATGTGGGGGAGGCGCACCTCTGGACCCGGCAGTGCTGGTGGGTGCAGCCTGCAGGTGGGTGTGCTACAGCTCATGGTGCAGGTGGGTGCACCACCTCCCTGCCCTGTGCGTGCACTCGCCTCTATCACTCTGCTCCCGCACCATCTCCCCATCTTGTCCCGAGTCCCGACCATCTTGATTGTTGGACCCTGCTGCTTCTTGCCTTGCCTCCCTGCCCACTCCTGCATGTCTTCCTTTGCTCATTCCTGTTAATCCTCCTCAAAACCCCCCCTTCCTCCCCCCCCCCCCTCAACCCGCCCTCCCTTCTCCCCACCCCCAGCGTCCTCCCCCTACTCCAGTCTCGCAGTCAAGTACGGGGTGAAGGAGCCGTGTGGAGAGGCGCTGCTCTTCCCCTTGGGAGACGACAAGGAGGAGAATGAGCGCGAGGTGAGCTCACATGCTGGAAATGATGACACCGTAACTCCTTCGATGTTCGTCCAATGCGCCAAGCGTAGAGCCGCCTTCTCACCGGCATGTGCCATTTCCCACCCATCAGTGCCGTGTCAACATGCTACTTCCTTTCTCACCCCTTCTCATTCCTTCGCCTCATACCTCCTTACCCTTACCCTTCCCCGCCCCCACCAAAACCACCCCCACCAGCACATGCCCCTGTCATCCTCTCTCAAGGGGATGACAGCAGCGGTGTATGCCCTTGCGCCCGACTCCTGTGTGCGCCCATCACTGCCGACTCACTCGAGGCGTTCGCTCACACCAACCCGCTGCAGCCCAAGGTGGGGTGGGGGCAGGGCGGGGGTGGGGGCAGGGCGGGCGTGGGGGCAGGGCGGGCGTGGGGGCAGGGCGGGGGTGGGGGCAGGGCGGGCGTGGGGGCAGGGCGGGCGTGGGGGCAGGGCGGGGGTGGGGGCAGGGTGGGGGAGGGGGTGGTGTGGATGCAATGCGGAGCATCAACCTGCCGTACCCTTTGTGGCTCACCAGCCTCCACACGTGCCAGCCGTGCCATACCTCTGCTGCTGACACGATGCAAGTGCTGCTCCTCCCCATGCCCCTCCGCCCCTCCCACCCACGCATGCGCTTCTCTTCGCACTAGACCCTGGCAGATGTTTTTGTTCAGCACGAGTAAGAGGGAGACACCTGGCATGTACAAAGTGCTCTCCACCACCTTCCGCAAAGACGCTCTTTTCGCCCTGGTATGCGTGCTTCCTTGCTCTTACGTCCCTCTGCTGTGTGCTTCCTTGCTCTTACGTCCCTCTGCTGTGTGCTTCCTTGCTCTTACGTCCCCTCAGCTGTGTGCGCTCTATCCCGCTCCCTGGTATTCACCCCTCCTCGTGTTATCCCCTCTTCCCTCAGCCACTCATTCGCACCTCACACTACGCGTGTGCGTGTTCCCTGCACCCACTATGCACAAACCTCGATCTTTCCTGGATTGCTCACTGTTCGACCCCTCAGTCCCTTGCTGTTGCTCCACGGTCCCTGTTGCTCACTGCTGCCCAACGTCCATCACCTGTAGCATGTCCCCTGCTCATGTTCCTCACGCACCTTCCCCCCTCAAACCTTGTATCCCCTTCACCTCCTTCACCCCTCACCTCTCCCGCCAGGTGCATGAGAGTGAGAAGAAGGTCGTTGCTCAATTCGATTCAAAGTTGCCAAGTTCCCCCACGTGAGTACTGTGTGTGCATGTCAGTGCTGTGCCTCTCGTCCATGCCAGATCATCCCATGCCAGCTCATCCGATGCCATGTTGTGCTGATGCATGCACACCACTCCAGTGACTCCACTCTCACACCTCGCGTGTGATTCCCACTGTTCCGTTACCTCTGAAATCTCCCGCATTCGCACACTCCCACCTCTCTTTCCTCTCCACCCATCTCCACCCCTCGCCACCACTCTGCACCACTGAGCTGAGCAGTTGTCGATAATGCTCCCAGCGCCCAGTCCAGGGAGGGAGGGCGAGGTGCAGCTGACGGTGCGTGACTTCCCGGGCCGCTCAAGTACCACATTGTGGCGCTGCAACTCATGCAGGTAGGGGGTTGGCTTGTGACTTTCCGGCCCGCTCAAGTACCACTCAGTGGCGCCTCAGCTCATGCAGGTAATTGGTGGGGTGTTGTCATATGCCGAGCACGAAGTAGGTGCCGCTGCTGATGCAGCTGGAATGGGGCGCTGGGATGAGCACCTCAAGCAGTAGGGAGGTTGGGTGTGGTGGGTCGCTGCATGCCATGTCACATGGCAACAAGGTGAGGTGGAGCCTCTCATGCAGCTGACAGTGCGGGACTTTCCCGGCCCCCTCAAGTACGTGGCACCTCAGCTCATGCAGTTGATACGGGGGGTTGGGTGTGCCAATTAGCTGCACATGTCACATGGCAAGTGCCAATTGGTACGTACGTGGTTGTACTGGTCCGCTCAGCTACCATGCAGGTGGTCTAGGGGTCAGGTATGGCACTGCCCTTGTCCCATACCAACTGTAAAATGTCGCAAGGTCGTGCTGGCACCATGTCTCATCTCCACCCTTTCTCCACCCCCTTCGCTCCCTTCTGGGGGGCAAGGAGGGGCAGGAGGATGTCTTTCAGACGGAATGTGTCGGCCATGCTTATCAAGCCTTGGATGTTATTTGCATGTCAGACGCAGCATGTCAGTGGCATGCCATTTGCCTTGCTGCATGCCTTCCCTCCCTCGCACACTGGGACACCCCCAAATTCCTTTGGCAGGCGCACACCTCTGCCCTCCCCCACCTGTCCTTTCTCTCACCTCTCCTCTCCGCCCTCTCTCCTCTCACCTCTCCTCTCCGCCCGCTCTCCTCTCGCCTCGCCTCTCCCCACCCACAGGCTGTGTGTGATTGGTCTGTTCAACACCGACTCCCCTCTCGACCAGCTCAAGCCAATGGCAGCCAAGTGGTACCCCTGGCTTTTCCACACCATCTCACCACACCGTTCACACCTCATCGCACCGTCTGGTAACCCCACTGTCCCTTAATCTCCCTCATCCGCGTGTCCCCTCTTTCCCATGTCCCCTTATGCACATGTCACCTCACGGCATCACGCGCCCGCGCTGCACCATCCACGAAGCACAGGAGTTTGATCTGGTGGACATCATGAGCGAGAAGGTGGAGGGTGCCGACGCCGTCGCCTCCAAGGAGCGCAAGACTCTGCACGTCAGCGCATCGTGGTGGCCCATGGACCCCTGGTGCCCTGGTGGGTCAGCGCATGGCCTGTGACCCCTTTTGCCACCGCGGGTCAGCACGCCATTGCAGTGATTTCCTTGCCCTTCCCCCCGCCATCCCTGCCATTCTCCCACCATCCGCCCCACGATCTCTGCGGCATTTCCCTCACACCTCGCCTCCCACAATCATCCCACCAACCCGGCTCGCGCCTGCCCCTTCCCCCGCGTTGCGTTACTCACTTCTCACTCAACCCCGTCCTCGCACACTCCCTTCCCTCTTTCCTCTCACATGGCAGGCTGACAAGGAGGCAGAGTAGGAAGCTGCCAGGAAGGCAGCAGAGGCGGACTCGGACATCAGGGAGAGCTGTAGCTGTGCTATAGCTGGGCTGTAGCTGGTCTACACCTAGGGTACTGTATTGTGGTTCTGCACCACTGTATGCAGTGTGCAGCAGTGCACACTTCTTGACGCAAGTCACAAAACCAGTCGTTTCTTTGATCGTATTGGGTTAATGTAAAGTGCATGTAACAATGATCACTATTGTACCTGGATAGAATCAATATCTCCGCTCACACTAGTAGAAGGTATGCAATGGTTGCTACTGGTATCTGGAACACTGTAAAACACTTCTACCACGTAACCATCTGCGCATCTCAGCATCAACCACGCCCAGTTACCGTCCGCGGGCCTGCAGCTTTGCCTCGGCGGCCTTTCTCTTCTCCCTCTCCCTCTCCGTCATGCCAATGAGTTGCTGCACCATGTCATCGAGTTCCTGCGCCGCACTTCTTTGTCGCTCCACCACACCATTGAGTTGCCCCTGCAGACGGTCCCTATCTGCCGTCACTTCTTGCAGCATCGCATCCCTGCTCTGCAAGTCGTCCTCCACCACATGCAGAACCCGCTCCACCCTCTGGTGTCACGCAGCCCACAGGGGGAACAAACAAGGCAGGAAGGACCAATGAAGAGGAGGGATGAGATAAAAGAGTAGTCAAAGCTCATCACTGGTTCCGGTCGAAGAAAGGGGGCTTGCGCTGTAACCACTGACGACCATTCAACCATCAACCGAATTTCTAGCACCACTGTCCGCATGCAGGCTCGGAAAAAACAGGATACGGTAGGAATGGCAAGGAAAAACGTGAAGGTGAGGAAGAGTGTCCGAGGGTGAAGCGAGAAGTAGGAAATGAGATGTGAAACATCCATACCTCAAGGCGTCCCTTTGTTGGAGCATGCGGTGCTGTGGGCACGGGAAGATTCATTTCCCCCTCCGAAACGCCAGGCACCGGTGTGGGTGCAGGGAGCGGTGTGCATGGGGTGGTGAGGGGGGGCGCCACCACATGCTCCTCTGCGCGACCCGACTGCGGGGTGCAGCGCAGCGAGTCCTTCTGCTGCAACCCATAAGGACGAAATGGTGCCATGATGACATGGCGGCATGTGCAAACAGGGGGTTGAGAGTGTGACAGCAGTGACTGGGCCAACGGGGACGTATGCCACCTTTAAACAAGAAGGGTGCACGGCATGGGTCACCCACATAGGAAGAGAGCGATAAAGAGAGGTATGGGGAACGGGCAGGGGTGCATGATGTGTACCTTTGAGTGCTCTCCTGCAGCTGCCTGTGCCTGCTCCTCTATTCCCCCGCCCACCGTCTTCAGCTCCTCCTGCACCGCCTTCCGCTGGATGGGGCGGGGGAGGGGGAGGCGAGAGGGGGGGGAGGGGGGACAGGGAAACAAAGGAATTAAACACGCTTGATAGGGGTTTAACCCTGCATCACTGCGCCTGCTCGCCCGCTGTCCTTGTCCCTAATCTGACCACGCACTCACCTGTGACTCCAATGCTGCCCTACCCTTGACTCATTCCGTAGACTCATGTTGTTGCCCCTGCTGCCAAAGCAATGTTGCTCCCTTAACACATGCCAACCAACCCTGAAGTTGATTAAACTCACCTGCGACTCCAGAGCTTGTGTCCTGGCGTCATTCAGCAGACTCATGTTGTTGCCCGTGCTGACATGGCAATGTTGCTGCCCCATGCCCTGCCCTTCGCCCCGGATCTTCCCCTTCATGTCTGGATGCATAGGGAGGGGAGGCGGGAAAAGAAAGAAAGGGCGGTGGGGGCAGGGTTGAGTTCAGGAGAGAGGAGTGCAGGGAAAGGACGGGGTTGAGGATGGGGAAGGGAGGCAAAGGGGGGGTTCAGGGCATCACTCGGATCTTCCCCTTCATATCTAGGCGTGCGCAAAGGAAACGAATGGGGGGAGGGAATGTAAGTGGGAAGAGGTTCAGAGCGCGCCAGAGATCACGCATGCACAAGCACCCATGCCTAGCACACCCTCGGCCCACTCGCCCTCCACCATGTTAAAGTCCCGATTGCGCTGCACCATCTCCTCCAGCTCCGCTATCCGCTTGCCCTGCCGCTGTATCACCTCCACATCCTCCACTCGGTTCCGCTCCATCTCCTGTAGGACAAGGCCGGGATCACGAGCGGGAAGACGAATCAGAACGAAGACCAATGATCAAAGTCGCCCACAGCATGCGTTTAACCCACACATGACGAGACTCACCACCTTCATCTCCCTCAGCTCCTGCAGCTCCTTCATGATTTCCTGCCAATTCCCCCACTGCGCCTCCTTCTCCTCCACCTCCTCGCTTGGCTGGGCCCCTGCCGCCCGGATCTCCTCCAATTGCTGCTCAGCAACTGCCAGCCTTGCTGCCAGGTGATCCCGCTCTGCTCTCAAGCGCAGCTCCAACGCCGAACCCCCCTCCCCAGCCGCCCCACCCCTACCAGAGCTCTCCCCCAATGTGTTCTGGCGCCTAGCAAAGCGGCGATCGAGGACATCATTAATGTGCATCTCGATGGCGAGCCAGATCCCCTCGCCCTGCGCACTCTTGAACTGGTAGACGTGCGGCACTCTCGCCATGCGGAAGGTGAAGAACAGCGCGGGAGGGCTGCTGTTTACCTTCATGATGTTACGCAGCTCCACTGAAACAATGTATTCCTTTGGGGATGGCCGGATGAAGTGCACCTGTGAAGTGACAGAGTGAGCATGTGCACGAGAATATTGAGGAAGAAAGACCCTCACGGCCTTAATAAACTGCTTACGGAAGAGGGTCAAGGCTAATGGCAGAGGGATATCTCCTCTCACTTGCTCTCCTCTACGGAAAAAGAGAACCCATATGGCAATGATCCCCCATGTGGGGCATCAAAAGCAAAAACCGTTTCGGGGGAAGAAGGGTGACTTACCCCGTGCTTGTTGATGCCCATAAGAACTCGCTTCGGGAGCAATTTCTTGGGGTCTTCAACGCACTTCAAATGGTAGAAATCCGACCCATAGTAGGGTAGGGTTCGAATGACCTGCAGACTCTGCTTCCTCGCGTCTTCAGCTGATAGGTGGGACTGGATGGCGGGGAAGGAGCGAGGGGACGAGGCGTAAAGGCAGATAAAGTGAGTGTGCGAATGTGCACGCCTACGTCCCACTCTCACTCCTATTATATGAGCCGTCAATATGAAAGACACCATTTCCATGGTCAGGATTTGGTGGAAGCTCACGAGCGCGTTGTAGCGAGTGAGCACGTCCGTGTGCCACTCTCGCTGCTCCTTCATGGGTCGGAACTCCACGGGGATCCTTTGCTCCACCTGCGCTTGCCCGATCCTGGGAGAACGAGACAAAGGGAAGATTTGGAAAGAAAAAAAGGGAGGGAGGGAGGGAGGGACGGAGGGAGGGAGGGACGGAGGGAGGGAGGTAGGGGCGGGGGAGGGATGGAGGCAGGTAGGCAGGGAGGCAGGGAGGCAGGGAGGGATGGAGGCAGGGAGGGAGGGAGGCAGGGAGGAAGGGAAGGCGTATAAGCAAAAACATGTGCTGCTTTTATTTAAGAGGCCAGTGTCACACTTGGAACGGTCCCTGTTCCTAGAATGAATTCAGACGCCTCATGTGAATAGACTCACAGCGCTGCTTCAGACTCAGGCAGCAAGCCAAGGTCCAGAACTAGATGGAGCGCTGCGAGCTGCGCCACGAGGTCCAGAGGCGTGGGATAGATGCCCTCTTCGTATTCCTGCCTAGCTTGGAGATAACAGAGCCGGATGAACAGCGGGTCCATTATCGCCTCCTCCCCGTCCCGGAAAGACCTCTTGCGCAACATGAGGCGCCGCTCCACTTGCCGCTCGCTACTCTCCGTGGAGCTCATCAGGGCGGCCATTATGTCCGCCATTCTAGCGCCCTCGTCAATACCCGTGTAGTCATCTGCTCAACATAACGAACAGCGAATGATCATCACGGATGCAGACAATCTATGCATACAACCGGAAACCTCATGTTACTTCAACCACACCGAGCGTGTAACTTGAAATAATCACCATATTCACCGAGCCTGCACACCATATTCAATCACAACATTGTTTACGCCCGAACACAAATATTTGGTGGACAGGCTCACGTGCATGCAGGAAACCATAGAATCAATGAACCAGCTGAAACAGCTCTGCCATAGCCTGAACCAGCTGCGGCGTGTGGGACTCACTCGAGAAGACTTCTGTGCTGTCGTTGGTGCACCTCCGGTGCTCGAAGAGCCCGAACCTTTTGAACTCCCCCAACCCAATTCTGCTCGCCACGTTCTGCATCGACCAAGACAGAGCAACGACGGTCACACAAGACAGAGTCGCATGGAGGAAGAGGAGATGCAGCCGGGAAGTGGGGCGACGAAAGAGCGCATAGGAAGGGAGATGAAAGCAGAGTGAGGAGGGAAGTTGAATGGGGGGAGGGGGGGGGGGGGGGGAGAGGGGATATGAATGGGGGGAGTGGAGGCGAAACGTAGTTGTGCCTATTAGCAGCAACACCCCAAGCACCCCACGCTTTCTAACATCCCATGGCCTGCAGAGACGTAAGATGCAGCAGGGAAGTGGGGCGACGAAAGAGCGCAGAGGAACGGAGATGAAAGCGGGATGAGGAGGGAAGTTGAATGGGGGGGGGGGAAGAGGGGATATAAATGGGGGGAGTGGATGCGAAACGTAGTTGTGCCTATTAGCAGCAAAGAGCGTATCAAAAGCGAAGCAGAGACGTAGGGGCGCCCCAAAGGCAGAACCACGCAACGATCCCACGCGTTTACAGACGCACCTCCAAGATATCCGCAGCCGTCTTGGACTCATCGTACTCCACCTCCTCGAATGTTTCATCCACAAGAAACACCTTTGCCTTGAGTAGTCTCCCCGCCATTGGCGCTTGAGCTGATAGGTCGGCGAACAGGGAAGACGGAGGGGTGTGTATGTGTGTGTGTGCGAGGAGGCAAGGGACTGGAAGGTAAAAAAACTGGAAGGCAAGGGACTCAAGAATGCACTTAAGGGGGTCTAGCGCTGAGGCGCGTCAAGAGCGGGCTTAAGGCCGGATGGGAAGGAGGGAGGGGAAGAACATGCCACGGGGGCATGCAGAGTCTGTTCATCGCAGGAGACAGTGACCAGGGCGAAGGGAACGTTATGAGTAGGGACGAGATTTACTTATGAGTCTTTTGAAAATAAATGGACTGGGGTGAGCAGTGAGGGGACTCACCACGGCGAATTCCACAGGCCTTGGAACGGCAAGGGAAGAGGAGGAAAAATACGCAGCGGCAAGTGGCTGTGGTCGTCATGAAAGGATGGGTAGATGAGAATTATCTGATCGATGGCGTGAGGCTTGTTGGGCGGCGCTTATGATCGAGGAGGGGGGCCTCGTCAAGGAGGCGCCTTGGGGATACCTTAGCAGCTGAGGTAATAGGCGGGTTACGAAGAACTCGAGTTAGATTGGGCTGCTCTGCAGAATGTCAGCCCAATTCTCAAGGCTTTGGATCTCGAATCTGAACCGTGTAGGAAATGTTGAATTTGAATTCTCAAAGACTGGATCTCAAATCTGAACCACACATTTGGTTGCGAAACTCTTCGTCTGCGAAACTCTTCGCATGCAGGGTAACACGTTCGAAAGCTGACCACGAAGTCAAGAGGAGGAACCTAAAATCACAGTTCCTGAAAGGGAAAATATGCGAATGGTAACATACATGGGGCTCTATAACACGTACGGTAACCATAACAATGAATTTTCACGCGTTTGGTAACTCGATTCACGCATTTGGTAACTATACACTGGCAATCCATCACGCGAATGGTAACTAGAAGAAACCCTCGTCAAACTTGACTGTGATTCTGGTTTTTCCCGCTCGCGCCAGACTGAATTGACGAGTCCTGAAGCACGAAATTCTGACACACTTTCCGAAATTCTGACACACTTTCCGAAATTCTGACACACTTTCCGAAATTCGGACTATTTCGTAAAAAGTTGCTCGAAAACCGTTCAATCGGGGCAAAAAATATATACCCCTTTCGGATGGCAAATGATTTTGAGAGCATCAACCCTAAACTCCTTGCGACAAGGCGTTCAAGGTTATTTCTACAATAAAGGCATGCCATTCGGAAGAGTATTATTTTCCCACCTCCAAAATTATCCCACGTTGCATTAATTACACATTTTTTTAATAAAATTATTGTCGTTTTTCCGGGGAAATTTCCCCATTTTGCAATTATGCAATCATGCTTGCAAAAATATAATTGTACTTGTTAGTACTATATTTCCGAGCTTAAAATAGATATGAAACTACTCTGAAACTATTTGGTCCGTGGTAATTGAACAAACGCAATCCTTCAAAGTCACGGCGGGAATCGTTCAATATCGGTAAAACGGTCCGTGAAATCTTTCAATTTAACAAATTCCTCTTAGTCAGGAACATTTCGGCGGAAGTTTCATCTAGTTACCATTCGCGTGATCATTCGCCTGTGCTAAGTTACCAATTGCGTGAAACGAGTTACCAAACGCGTGAAAATGCACTGTAATACTTACTGTACGCGTTAAAGAGCCCCATGTATGTTACCATTGGCATACTTTCCCTTCCTGAAACCACGAAGTCAAGATTCACCATTACAGTACACGCCTGTTCCAGCATCATATTTCGCATAGCTTGATTAGGATTATATTCTTCTGCTCATGCTCGGACTCCGCTGCTTTCCATTCCCCCATGCATTGGTGCGGCTGTGAGTCTTCCCAACAGCGGATGGTCCACTCCTCGGGCTGCGGCAACCACGCCAAGGCTACTCCCATGCAGCCACGGCGTTGGGGGGAGTTGGCGTAGGCGTCTACCACAGCGCGCGTAGAGACTCGCTCTGCTCGCTGCTTCATCGCCCTCCATTTCTCACCACACGCAGGCGCCGATGCCGTCCCCTGTTCGTTTCCGGCCGCGATTGAGCAGTGCGGGAGGCCACGAGCCGACGAGCGGTTTCCCGATGAGCCATCTGGCTGCAGCAACCAGCAACCAGCCATGGGCTGCAACGCAACGCCTAAGGGGGGGAGGAGCGTTTTTTTCGCTCGCCCCCTTCCCCTCGTTTCCCCTGTGCTCCGCATAGCATGTGCGCGGGCAGCAGCGGAGGGAGCGCGAGCAACATCGCACGCAGCAGCAAGCGCACGGAAGAGCACCTCCTTGCCGCCTCCTGCCTTGCCGCCTCCCCTCTCGTCGCCGCCTCCCTTGCCCTCCTTTCCCTTGCCACCCCCTCCCTTGCCGAGTTGTCAGGTGAGGAAGGAGGCGGGGACACGGGCGTGCGTGCGGGTACGTGGGGTGGACGGCTCTCGTCTGTGGACGGGCTTGGCGCGCAAAGCTCCAAATGCTGCCCCTCGCGCATCACAACCTCCCACCGGTGCGTGCCGCCCGTGGCAAAGGGCGCCAGAGAGCAGGGGGAAGGGGGGAGGGGGGGTTCACTTCAGGCGAGCTGAGAGGCCACGTTGGGATTGGGCAGCTGCAGAAACAGTGGGGGGTGGGGGACGGAGGGCGGGTGGCGGAGGGCGGAAGGGGGGGGGGGGGGGGGAGGCAGAGGGAGGTTGCGGGGTGGAGCAGCAGTGGGCGAGGGTCTCACTGGACAGCCGCTTACTCTCGCGTGTTGCCCCCTTGTCTTCCCATGCACCCCATCCCATCCCATGCGCCACACCCCTCCCCTCCCATTACCTCCCTCCCTCCCCTCCCCTTCCCTTCCCTTTTCAGTTGTTCTCACCTCCTTGCTGTGTGCTCACCTTTGCTTCGTCCGTTGTTGCCTTTGCCCTTCCCTTGTTGTCTCGTCCGTTTTTCTTTTCCCTCCTTTCCTCGTCCCTTTCTCCTTGTCCTTATGTCTTCTCAGTATTGCTGCGTCTCCTTGCCTCTGCAACACCTCAAAAACAACCAACGCATTTCATATGCCATTGTTTCTCCTCCATTTTGCTTGCAGGAAAACTCTTGAAAGCCACGCTATCAGCCCAGCACCGACAAGCAGAAACACCGGCAGCAGCAACAATGGCAGCAGGTCGGTTAAGGCTTTAAACCCAGACCCAGAAATGCAAGTCGGTTCAGCCCGCAAAGGTTTGAGATCTAGGCTACCTGTCGTCTCCTCCACCGTTTCTATCGTACGCTCCTATTCTCGCGCCCATCACTGAGACAGCCAAGGTGGGGGGACGACGTGACGTGACAGCACGTAAACGGCATGTGAGCGGGCGGGTGAGTATTGTTAACCACTTGATTTCCTGCCCTTCTCATCGTTCCCTATCCCATCCCTCTGGTCCCTCTCCCTCAGTCCGAGCAGCCAAGGTGGTGTGCGTCCGAGCATGCAGGAGTTCAGCAGCAGTGGCGTGGCGGCACTTGCATCAGCGCTGGGCTGGGGGTGCCGTCGTGCAGTAGTTGGAGGGGCGAGCAGGACTGGCAACACCAGCACGAGCACTTAGTTGGTCAGACGAGTAGGAGCACGTCAGTTCTTGCTCTGAAACGAGTCCGTGCTTCAACGCTTCACTTGTGCGTTTTATGCCCCTCCAGTGGCTAATCCTCCCTTTGGTATTGTTGCCTTCGAGTGAGACTGTGGAGATGAGACGGGCATGCGAGTGAGTGTGCTCAAGCAGGCGCCGACACGTGGCTGGGTGAACACCTCCCTCGCGTGTCCACGCCCTCATGCTGCACCATTCCAAGGTCGGAATGCCGAGGAATGGGGGACGGGGCGAGAAGGGGGGGGTTCTACTTTGGGGGTGCTACGTGGGGCGCGGAGGGGAAGGGGAGGATGTGGGATGGGCGTCTCACTGAGTCAGCGCTCGCTCGCTCTGCCTTGCTGCTTCCTTGCCTCAGCCATCATCGCCCTTCTTCCCTTTCACCTCATCCCATGCACCCCCTCCCATCCCATCCCATGCGCCATACCCTTCCCCATCGCCGCCACTGCCTGCACTCCACCTCCCTCCCTCACTCCCTTCCCCTCTTTTGCCTCGTTGAAGCCGGCGTGTGAGCAGCAGTGCATGCGTGTGTTTGGCTGGGGGGTGGCAGGTTGGGCAGGGAGGCAGTGGGGTTGGGGGAGAGCACATGTGGCGCCTCCACCATCCACAAACAGCCCCACCCACCCTGCTCGTCTCACATGCACGGGAATCCCCCAACCGGCGCCATCCACCTGCGCTACCAACGCCACCCACGCACTGCCCGTGTGCCTGCCCTGCGCATAGCCTGCTCACCGCTACATGTGCCTGCATGCCATGTGTGCAGGGCATGCATGTGTGTAGGGCATGCATGTATGCAGGGCAGGCAGTGTGCAGGGCATGCATGTGTGCAGGGCATGCATGTGTGCAGGGCATGCATGTGTGCAGGGCATGCATGTGTGCAGGGCATGCATGTGTGCAGGGCATGCATGTGTGCAGGGCATGCATGTGTGCAGGGCATGCATGTGTGCAGGGCATGCATGTGTGCAGGGCATGCATGTGTGCAGGGCATGCATGTGTGCAGGGCATGCATGTGTGCAGGGCATGCATGTGTGCAGGGCATGCATGTGTGCAGGGCATGCATGTGTGCAGGGCATGTGCGCATGGCTTGTGTGCATGTTATGTGTGCAGGGCATGTGCGCATGGCTTGTGTGCATGTTATGTGTGCAGGGCATGTGTACAGGACATGCTCTTGCACACACCCACAGGCACTCACACACACACACTCACTTACAGGCGCACACACACACACACACACTCGCTTACAGTGCGTTCACACACACTAACACACACTCCACACAATCACACACCCACACACTCACGCCTACACGCACTCACAATCACTCACACACTCGCTGACATTCACACACGTCTCCTCCCCCTCGCGTCGCCTCCTCTCTCTCCACTGGCTAGCGGCCTGCCTCTGCTGGGCCGCTGCTTCTGCTGCCCCACTCCTGCGTCTGCCTGCTCCCTGCTGCTGCTGCTGCTGCCCTCCCTGCTCCGCACTGCTTTCGTGCTGCTGCTGGTGGCAGTGGTGATGGTGGTGGCGGTTCTGGTGACATGCATTTGCATGCGTGGTATGGCTTGCACAGCATGGCATGGTGCGCTAGTGGGGCATGGCATGGTGTGACATGTCATGATGCCATGTGCATGCTGGCAGCACATGTTGGGAAGAGGAGCATGATGGAATTGGAGGGAAGAGGGGTGGACGAGTGCAGGTGACATGCATGGCTGCTCCGCTTGCTGTGCCATCTTACCAGAATTGTATACTGTAGTGTCCTAGTATGATTATGGAAATTACGACTGGGTTGTTATGCATTTTAATCTGTGTCTATGCTTTCTTGTGTAAAACCTATATGTAGTCTCGATGAGAATGTGCAAACACTTGGCAGCTGTAGAATTTGGCAGGTAATCGTGGGACTCCCTCCAACTGGAGGGTCATGCATAGCATGATTCTACCAGGTACAGCATGCTAAACATAACTAATTAGCACACAACCAGAGAATCAAGTTTGTGCGTGTCTCAATCATACATGCTACACCCACCACTAATTCCTACTGAAGGGTAAAAAATGGTACAGTGCCTAAAGTTACTTCCACTCTTCCACAGAGGATCTAGCTTCTCCTGCTCTGCTTCGCTTGCTAGATGCAGATCAGGAAGCAAGGTGGAAGGCAGAGTGCCCTCTTAGGTTCAGCGCACTGGAATCTCTTTCCGAGGCGCCTTGAAAAATGTGTTTCCTGCTAGACACAGCTTAGGATGCCATGTGAAAGGCAGAGTGCCCCCTCAGGTTCTGCCGCACCAGAATCTCCTGCTCCTCTAGTCCAGCTGCTTCAGCACTGCTGCTCTCTCCCCCTCCTGCCTCTCTGCTTCTTCTTGCTACACCAGCCTTACTGGTACTTCCTGCTCCTCCAGCTCCTTCACAGCACCTACACTGGCGTCTGCCTGCCTCTCCGTCTCTTCTTCCATTGCCGCTGCTTGGCTGGCGGGTAGAGAACCCGCGTCCACCACTGTGTAAGACGTCAACTGCACATGAATCTCCTGCTGCTCCAGGTCCCTCCAGGCAGCCTGCTAGGAGATTGTCTCTCTCTCTCCGCCTCTTCTGCCTTCTCTCTCTCTCTCTCTCTGTCTCTCCGCGCCTCCTGCTTCCATGGCTGCTGCTTGGCTTGTGATTTGGGAACTGGCGTCGACAAGAGAAGGACACGAGGCGGATCGGGATCTCCTCCTCCTCCATCTCTTTCACTGCTGCTGCGAGAGCTGCCTCTTCCTCCTCTTCCGCCTGCCCCTTCTGCTTCTCACCTTTCTTCACTGTCCCCTCTGTCTCACAGCCGCCTGCCAGAGGTCCCACCTCAAACGCTTCCATGCCTCGGATGGTGGCGCTTCCTCCTGCCTGCTGCACTGCCACGCCCTCTCCCTCAGTCTGCTGCATCAACTGAGAATTCTCCTGAAAAGGCTCAGGGTTTTCCTCTCCTTGCATGCCCTCCTCCTTCTCCTGCTGCTGCAGCTCGAAAAGCTCAAAGACTTTGATGCCACGAGGCTGCTCCGCCTGCTCCAGCTCTTCGCATTGAATTGCCTCCAGCTCCAAAGCTGCCATTGCCTCAGGGTCTTTCTGATACGCCTTCTCTGCATGCTGCTCCTGCTGCTGTTCTTGCTGCGTCTGAGACGCTGCTTCCACAATCTTCAGCTCTTCCACCTCCTCTGCTTGCATTCTCGCCCTGTTGCCTTCGAACACGCCCATCACGTGCGCATCATGCTCTCTCCTCTGCCTGCCCCTCCGCCCACTCCTGCTCATCCTCATCAGTAGCGTCCTCGAAAAGGGAAAGCGCGCTATCGGAAGGTGTGTTGTTGGGGGTGTTGGCCGTTGTACGCGTTACGGATGTCGTTGCGTTGCAGTATCGAGTTCCGACGCTGCAAGAGGCGCTCGGAGATTTAAAAAAAGGGAAACACAACACATACACAAACAAAGGAGACGCGGAAGATAGTGGGGTGAGAGATGATCAGGGGAGCGGGGGGGGGATGTATCGGTGGAACGAGGGTAACAAGGGAAGAAAGGGAACGACGGGAACAACGGGAATGACAGAAGGGAAACCAGGAAGGCCAACAGAAAGACGGGAAAGGATAATCTCAGACCGCCGATAGTCTGGACGCGAGAAGAATCTTGGGGAGAGGCGCAGGGAGAGTCACGGGGAGAGACGCGGGGAGAGGCACCTTCAGCGGCAGGGAGGTTAGGAGAAAATATGAGAGGACGCGACGGGGATCTTTCTCAGCCGCTCAGGACCGACTTACAAGGCGTGCTCCTTGCCGGGAAGAAACACAGCCGGCCGGTCCGCGGCGCACACGTCAGACAGCGGCGCGAGAGGTTCCAGTAGGCGCAATCAGCGCGCTGCTGGCACTCTGCACAGCAGTCCGCGGCGAGCGCGCCCGGCGGAAGCGGAACGCCGTGGGGGAGCGCGGGGAGGCGGAAGCGCTTCGAGCCTTGCACGGCGAATCGGCCCAAATACACCTTCTTCACCCGTGCACTTCAAAGCACCGCTCTTTCCCCCCTTTGACCTCCATCCCCCCCCCCCACCGTCCTTGAGGGCCGTGGCGGGATGGCCCAGCAGCAGCAGGCTCGCGGTCACGACAGGTGACAGGTGCGGAGAAACGACAAGACAAGGTCGCGTTGAAACCTGGTGGGTGCATGTGAGTAAGTGACTGAGCGTGTGGGTGAGTGAGTGTGTGAGTGAGTGAGTGAGTGAGTGAGTGAGTGAGTGAGTGAGTGAGTGAGTGAGTGCGTGAGTGCGTGAGTGAATGAGCGCGTGAGTGAGTGAGTGGGTGGTGGCACCGCAGGTCGAAGGCCGAGAGCGACCTGCTGTTGCTCCTCCATGCGTGCCCCCTCCTCCCCTGCCAGCCGCACCAGCTCTGCTGCCATCACTGCGGAGAGGAGAGCACAGGCAGGGCCACCATGTGACACAGGAGTGGCACGCTGATCAAGCGTGCAGCATGGCAGCATGGCAGCAGACAACCCGTGGTCCATGTCCCCACAACTCGCCATGTCAGCTCCCCCCTCCTCCCTCAATATTCATCACTATTCCCCCACTCTCCCGCCGGCATTTATCCCTCAACATCCCATCGGCAGGTATGCCAGCGGTGGTGATGGCGGGCACACCTGCCGCCACCGCAGCCTCGTGCAGCGAGCGAGCATTGCCAGCGACCGCCATGTCGCCACACACGGCCACGGAGGGCGTCTGGGGAAAGAGGGGTTTAAGGGGTGGGGAAGGGGGCGAGAGGGAGGCCTTTTGAGGCGCCTCAGACGTCGCAGTGAACGCGACGTCGACACACACGGCATTGGGCAGAGAAGCACGATGGCGGTACCGCAGGGGGCAGGTGACAAGTAGAGCGGGGGAGCGGTGATGCAGGGTGTGTGGGGCGCAACGCAGGTGTGGGAGGGGAGAGAGGAGGAAGACACCCGAGAGGCAGGGCGCCCACCTTGGTGCGGATGGCGGCTTTCAAAACGGTGCATTGCGGTTCTCGCTGGAAGGGTCCTGCACAGCGCACCACCAGGTCAGCTCCTGCCGGAGGGAGGGGAGGGGGAGAGGGAGGAAAGGGGGGGAGAGGCGATGGAGAGAATAGGAGGTGATGCAGGTCGGTTGGGAGGGTGAAAGTTCAGGAAGTGGGAGAGGTACGGGAAAAAGGGGAAGGATGGGAGAGGGCGAGCAAGACAGCAGCAGAGGCAGTGGCAGAGAATGGCAGGGAATGGCACGGAGTGGCCCCCACACCTCTCTCCCCCGCCCCCCACCTCATCCGCCGCCACCATGCTCGCCCCAGCAAGCCCCCCCAGCCCCCCTGCGCCCACGCCTGCGCCCATACCTGCGCCCGTACCTGCGCCCATCCCTGCGCCCATCCCTGCGCCCACACCATACACAGTGGGCACCATTCCCCCACCCATCCCCACGCCTCGGCCCACGCCTCCGCCCATGCCCCCTCACATGCCCATCCTCATGGCAATCCCACCACTGGAGGGGCGGGTCCCATCGCTCCCTGCACTCCCATTGCTCCCCCCAGCCCTCCCAGTGACCCCAGTGAACCCCCTCCCTGCGCTCCCTGCGCTCCCAGCGACCCCAGTGATCGCCGCACTGGACTTCTGCCACCGCAGCGAGCAAGCGCACAGCAGCCCCGCAGCCTTGTCGCGCGCCCGGCGACGTGCGCGGCGGTGAACATCTGCGACTCCTCGGCGAGCCAGACGGATCGCAGAAAGTCGCCCATGGGCCTGGATGCGACGGCGTGCGACGGGCCTGCGAACGTCGCTTGGAACTCGTCGAGCTGAGCGAATAGATGGACGCCTGCCGCGCCAGCAGCTCCGGAAACGCCATGGCGCGCGGGCGGAGGGGCGGAGGGCGAAGCGCGGAGAAGGGGGCGGAGAATTGTAGAGGCGGAGAGGAGGAGAGGCGGGGAGGCGAAAGGCGGAGAGGCGGAGGCGGGAAAGCGGACTGCCACCGGAGAGAGAATTATGTACAAATTGCACGTCGATTGTAGGAGACCGCGACGAGCGTACGATCCGCGATGAAATGGTGGCGCGAGAGAGGAGTTGGAATGTACAAGGGTGAGGCGGCTAGAGTCACGCTGCACTATCACAGAACGGTTCGGCCTCTCACGCGCCTATCACAGCCCGTCCTTAACGGCCCCTCCCATTCCCCTCCTCTCGTCGCATCGTCGCGAGGGCGAGTGGAGCGGGGTGATCGCAGGGACGAGGCACGCGCACAAACACGCCACGAAACGGCCTGAAGGAGAAAATATATGCGAATTTAAGAATGAGAGAATAAAAGGAGGTGCTCAGACGGAGTTCCGAAGCAGACCACGAAATCCAAACTGGTTCCAGACGCGACAGATATGCGCGTGGAGAGATGCGGGGGAGAAATTGTAGCGGAATGAGGAGCAAGCAGTTACGAACGAGTTTTCTCCCTGCTTTGCTGTGGTGTGAGTGACTCGCCTACACTACAATCCGATATAGGCGGCCTCGTATTAGTTATGAAACCTTTCTCACTTTATTCTCAACTCATTAGCGTTCCCGCTTGGTTGTTGCTGACTCACGGCTGATTGGTTCGTTACTCCCAAGTTTGCGCCTGTATCTCGCGCACGTGTCAGCAGCCCATTTCCCGTTCGCTGGCGAAGGAACTGCTGTGCGTCCGTTACAAACAGGGTTCCATTTCACAACAACTAGACACACTTAGTAAATCACATATATCTCTAGAGTCCCCCCCAAACCTTGAGTTCCATTTCATTCCGTTTCGGAACTCCACTATTCTTCCCCTCGCACTTAGACATCATCAACAGCCGCGTCGCGCGTGCTCTTAGTCTCCACCATCAGCATTTTTTCCGCCCTGCCATTGACAGCCGCCGAAGAAATGAGCAACGCCGCCCAGTGCGGTTTCCCAGTGATTTTCTCCGAGCGTATTTCTTCTGTTCCGCGCAACGTTCCCCGTTCCGCGCAATTTCTTCCCATGGCCCTCCGCGTCCACCCCGCTTTACCCCCGGGAACGCGCCCCTTGTCGAGTGTGACACTAACGAGCGAACACATTGAGGTGGGTCGTCGCCGCTGCGGCGTTTTCGCAAGCAATGCGCGCGCTTTATCGCAAGCCCACACTGCCTTCTTCACACGCGGTGTACACCGTTCCTCGCTTCGCTATACGCTGCTGCGGTATGAACGACATCTCAGAACAAGAGCGGCTGCACTCCCATTTCCGATTCACCTACCCTTGTCCTCCTTCTGGCCGTATTTCTTGCCCACTCGATTCTAACTCCCTCATTCTCCCCGACTCTCGCTCCATTCTCTCGCCCGTCCCTCTCCCTGCCTCCCATTCCCTGCTTCCTCTCCCGTCCCCCCACTCCCTGTTCTCGTTCCTTTCCTTATTTCCAGAATACCCTTGCCCCGCGCACGTCCACTCTCCTCCGCCCACTCGCTAGCCGCCGCGTCCCCCCTCCGCACCGACTGCTGCGCCACTCCGCCAAGCGCAGCGAACGCTCCCCATTTCGGGCGGAGGGCGTGGCGGAAGCGGATGCGGGGGCGGCGCCGCTAGTGACCGCTGCGGGCGATCGCGCAGTGAGGGTGGGTGAGAGGGGATGGTGAGAGCGGGTGAGTGGAAGTGGCGCGGGGAGCGCGGGTGAATGGCTATGGCGCGGGGAGGGTGAGCGAGTGGCAGTGGCTGGGGGTGGGGGGCGCGGGTGAGAGGCAGTGGTGCCAGGAGGGTGGGTGAGCGAGGTAGCTTTTCCTTTCCTCCCCTCCCCTCCGCCCTTCTCCCCTCCCCACAATCAGCCCACAAGCTGTCCGTCAATTCCTGCACCCTTCCCCCATCGCACCCTTCCCCCATCGCACCCTTCCCCCATCGCACCCTTCCCCCATCGCACCCTTCCCCCATCGCACCCTTCCCCCATCGCACCCTTCCCCCATCGCACCCTTTCTCCTTTCCCCGCACACCTCACTTCAACCCCGCTCACCCTTCCCCCACCTCACCCTGTGTCGGGCGGAGAGGGGAGTCCAACGGGGCGCCCATGGGCCGCCAGTCCCAGCGGTGATGGTCTCTAATGCCTTCCCTCTTCCCCTTCCCTTCCCCTTCCCCTCCTCCTCCCCTCCCCTGTCCTCTCCAGTCTCCGCCACTCGCTCCGGTCTCTTCCGCTCGCCAGTGTCACGGGGAGCGGAGAGCGCCACTAGCGCCCACAGCCTACCCGCCCCGGCTGTAGCAGTGCGCAACCTGGAGCGCTGTTCTGCTCCAGCATGCCACGGGTTGTAGTGCCTTGCGTTACAGCCTTTCCTCTCACTCACTCCCCACCTTCTCACTCCCCACCTTCTCACTCCCCACTCCCCTCTCCCCTCTCCCTCCTTCCCTCTCCCTCCTCCCCTCTCCCTCCTCCCCTCTCCCTCCTCCCCTCTCCCTCCTCCCCTCTCCCTCCTCCCCTCTCCTTTCCCAACACTTCCAGTGTCCGCCACTCGCTCCGGTCTCTTCCACTCGCCCGTGTCCGGAGGGGTGGAGAGTGCCACGAGCGCCCACGGGCTGCCAGCGCCAGCGGTGGCGGTGGCAGGGCGCAACAGTGGTAGTGGTGGAGCAGGCGTAGTACGCACAGCTCTGCTCGCCCCGCTCGCACCACCGCCGCAAGGGGCACCCCTTGGAGTCGCTAGTCGACTGTACCACCGATGCTGATGGCCGTGAGTCAATGAAGGGGGGATTGGGGGCATAAAGTGGGAAAGTGGGTAAGGGGGAAGTGGGGGGAGAGAGGGGTGAGTGGGGTTGGACTGGGGGTGGGATTGAATGTGCACGGGGAACAAGCGAGGAAGTCTGTTGTTCCTGCACTCACCTTCTGCCACCCCCCTTTCCCCCACCCACCACACCCCACAATTTCCTGCCATTCCCCCCTCACCAGACCCCATGTTCCTGCTCTCCCCCCTGGGCATGCACTCGCGCAACCTCCTCCTGTCGGAACCGCGCTGCACCGTGGTCGCGCAGGTTCCGGGGCGGAGCGGCCTTGCCAATGCGCGTGCCACCATCTTTGGGGGTCTCTACCCTCTGCCATCCAGCCAGCAGGTAGGATAGCAGGCTAGCCCACTAGCATGCATGCCAGCAGTACGGGGTGGAGTGGCCTCGCCAATGCCCGCGCCACCATCTTTGGGAATCCTTGTACCCTCCCACACAGCCAGCCAGGAGAATGTATAGATATGAGCTTGGTTGGTTGCACATATACGGAAAAAGAGGTGGATTAGCAGCACAGATACAAACTCCTTCCCTCCCCTTACCCACGCAAGGAGTGGGCATGGGGCTTCTATGTGAAGAGGCACCAGCACGGGCACATGAGTGCCCCTGCGCTGTACGTCCCTTGCACTGCTGCTGCTCTTCCCACTGCCCTCCCTCCCCTGCTGTACCCCCACTGCCAGGAGTGGGCGCGGGGCTTCTATGTGAAGCGGCACCAGCACGGGGAAACTTCCATTTCTATCGCATTGATACCATCTGGTAACTGGATGGATAAGGTAACCGCACGCATGGAGTCTATCTGGTGACTGAGTGGTCATTGTTGTGATACATTCTTGTGTGTTTGAAGCAAACATTCTTGCACAGTGGCTCTATATGAAGACGATTCTTTCCACGCCCCTGTCCTTCTCTCCCTTCCCCGATCACCCCCAGCGACATCTATTTTGTGCGTGGGTTTGGCACAGCGGCATGGATAGACGTGGCTGAGTATAGTATGTTCCCTCTTACCCTCACCAACAGTATGTTCCCTCTCAGAGGGTAAGAGGGAACATACTGTTGGTGAGGCTGAGAGGGAACATACTGTTGGTGAGGCTGAGAGGGAACATACTGTTGGTGAGGCTGAGAGGGAACATACTGTTGGTGAGGCTGAGAGGGAACATACTGTTGGTGAGGCTGAGAGGGAACATACTGTTGGTGAGGCTGAGAGGGAACATACTGTTGGTGAGGCTGAGAGGGAACATACTGTTGGTGAGACTGGGGCCCTCTGTGCCTGGCAGTGCTGGCGGGGTCGAGTCCCCAAGAGGCCATCGATGATGCTTCCTTCCTTTCTCATGGTGCTTCTTTCCCCGCGTCTGCATTCACGCCTAAATCGGGAGGTGGGGAAATGGAAGGGAGAGTAAGGGAACAGGAGGGGATGCTTGTATGGCAACATACGCTGTGTGATTCGCAGCAGCAGTAGATCTGCCCTCTTCATCCCGTTTCCTGTCTCGCATCCGCACCACCACTAGCCCGTCCCCTCCCCCACTACCTCCCTTCCCTCCTCGCTTCTCTCGCATCTGACGCTCATACCTCTTTCCGTGTTTCGTGTCCCCCGCAGCTGTATTCAGGTGTTCACGGGAGACAACACCGCCAGGGCGCTCCTCAGCTTCGCCACTGGTCAGCCCGCCTCTCCTCCTCGCCGACCTGCCTCTTCTCTTCGCACCTTGCCTCTCCTCCTCACTCCCCTGCCTCTCTCGCTCCCTTGCCTTGCCTCTTCATTCAGTGCTGCACCCAGGCACGCCTCCTTCCCCCCACTCTGCCCATCTCCTTCCTCTAGTTATCTGCGATTATTCTCAAGCCTGATTCCCCACTCTGCCCGTGCCCTCACTCCCGCCCCTCCCCCAGCCGCCCTACCGCACGACCTGGTGACCAACATCTCCTCTACCACGCGACCTGGCGAGATGTTGGCGAGGAAGGCATCAACAAGGGTCGTCCCTCCCATCGCCTCTTCTCACACACATGACTAACCCTCACGCCTGCACGCCTGCAACCAAGTCGCCTGTGCATCTAATCCCCTTATCTCCGATCCCCCATGCCCCCCTTGCCCGCCATTCCACCCCTGCCCAGCCGTCACAACGCTTTTCAAGGCCCTCTAGCTGCAATTCAGGTACCCCTCTCACATTACATTCAAACCTCTGCAGCTCTGCTCCCCCTCTGTCGCCCTCTCCTCTTGTAGTGTCACTGTCCCTTCATACCTTCCTTCGTAAGATGTCGGTTTGGCGTTGAAATGTTTGTGGGCTGCGGTCTCGGCAAGCAACTTGAGGAAGGCGGGGACTTCATGGCATGGGCAGCCGTACGTCTCAACAGCGAGCGGGTGATGGACATCGGCTAGTCATGGGGGGACATGACTAGCGGATAGCTCCTCTCCCCCCTCCGCTTCCACTTTCCTTCCGCTCCAACACTTGACCCACGTCTTTTCCTGTCGCTTGTTCTCGCCATCTTTCTCTCACGTGCTCTTCAAAGCAAAGAAAAACGCTCGTTCAGGACAATTGTACCCCCGGAACACGGGAAATCCGCACCGGTATAGTACGGTAAATGAAGCTTCCCATTCTCTGTTTCTAACAAGTACGGTAGCTGCGTTTACTGCACTCTCATGGATTCTCAATTTCACATTCTCTATGAGCAGGCATTGCAGTCAATCTCATGCACACAGATTTTAACAGGAGATGTCTAGACTAAAGCCATCTGCATACGGTATGTACGGCATTGTTGTGAAGCAATGAGGAAAGTACTGGTAGCCTCTTTTCTTTTTAACCTGTTGCAGTCTCCGCTTCATGTAACCATGACTGTGGCAGTTCCCAGTTCTCATGCCATGTAATGACTGCATGGGTCACAGCACCACCCTCCACTGCAACTTGCTGAGAAGCCGTCCCCTCATCCTTCAGCCGGCCCCATACCGTGGGTGCGCTAGCATTGCCCAGCAGGTGCAGGGGCAGCCACACATAGCGTGAGTCAGCGAGGTCGTGCTTGTTCCACCGGTCTGCCAAAAACACAAACACGCCGGGCGGGGCGTTGGGCAGCGGCAGCACAAACGTGCCCTGCGACTCGAACGTGCTGCTGCATGAGGGCGCCCATGCACCAGGCGCCGACTCGCCCTGCCACGGCCACCTCTGCTGCTGCTGGTGGTGCTGGTGCTGGCGGTGGTGGTGGTTGGAGCATGGTGCGCCCAGCAGGCGCCACTCACCCAGCATGTGCGACGCCACATGCACCTCAGCCTCATTGGGGTCCCACCCTGTGCATGCTGACGTCACCAGAAAGTAATGCTGCCATAGGGGAAGAGCCACAGGCAAGGAGGAGAAGCAGGAGCGGTGGTGGGAACATACACATGAAGGCATGCCATGCCATGCCATGCCATGCCATGCCATGCCATGCCCTGCAATGCAGCGACAGGGACGCCCGGCAGCAGCGGGCATGCGAGTGAGAGGGCACTGACTTGTCGGTACTTGAAGACGGCGGGCGCCTCCCTGGAGCGCCCCACAAAGCGCCGCACAAAGCCACCGTCAACGTCGAGGTAGTCGGGGGTGAGGCGTGCAATGTGCAGCACGGCGTTCATCTCACTGGCGTACACCACGTACGCCACCCCGTCCTCGTCCCCAAACACCGTCATGTCCCGACTCTCCTGCCCGTTCGGCCGGAACCTGCCCACGTACTGCCCACACAAGACGCATCAGCACGCCCCACCACACATGCTCCATGTCGCTTGCACGTATGGACAATAGGAGTGAATGGGCCTACAGCATAAGGACAAGAAAAAGCTGAGTGGGGAAAGATTTCGAAGGGCGGGCGAGGAATGCAAGAAAGGCCCAAGGGGTGCGGTTGGAAACAGCAGGGCGAGCGAGGTACCGTGAAGGGGCCGTGCGGATGGGAGCTGACGGCGACGCCTGTGCTGGCGAGGTGGTAGGCGGCGTCGTCGACGTGCAGCCACATGACGTAGCGGCGCGAGGCCGCGTGGAAGAGCACCTTGGGGCGCTCCATGACGCGGCTCACGTGCAGGTCGCTGGCGGGGTCGTGCGTGTCAGGCGCCAACACCACCCCGTGCGCCTGCCAGTGCAGCAGGTCCGAGGAGCTGTAGCAGCTGATGCCCACCACGTCCACCTGCTCTGCTCCAACGGTCGCACGGGCGGGGAGGAGAGGGCAAGGGCGGGCAGGGCGGAAGGGAGGAGGGCAGTGGAGGGAGGGAGTGATAGTGGGGCAGAATGGCATTGTGCGGCAGGTGAGCGGGCGAACTGGAGGTGCCACTGGCGACAGGGGTGAGCGGGCGAACTGGAGGTGCCACTGGCGCCATGGCGCCGTGCCTTCCCCTGGGTGCTGCGCTGCGGGGCTCTGGATCAAGCCATGGCATGTCGTGCTGCGCCATGTGGAGCAGCCACATGCGGGGCGGAGTGCCACTGGTACTGGCGCGCGCATGTGCGCGTCAGGGCGCTTCTCACCCGTTCCAGCGAGCCTTTGAGCGAGTACGTGTCGCCCTCCTTGTTCTCGCCGTACCAGTAGTACCGACGCTCGCTCGCCACGTACAGCACGCCCCCGCCGTGCGCCTGGATGCGCCGCCCCTCCTCATCCAACCACACCCGCCCCGGCCACAGCCGCCCCCCTTCCCCCTGAAACGGACGCCCGCGCGGCCACAGCTGCCTCCGCCGCGCGCCCGCCTGCCATCCCTCCGATGCCTGCGCGCCCTCGCCTTCCCCCTCCGATTGCCCCCGCCATGCCCGCCGCGCCCAGCTCACCGCTCCGCGTGCGGCAATGCCCGCGGCCAGCGGGGATGTGTGGAGGAGGTCGGAGTGAGTGGAGGCGGCGAGGCGCGGGGGAAAGAGAGGCGCGGGTGAGTGGAGCAGCAGGAGCGCGGAGAGCGAGAGCGCTACGAACGAGAGGGCCGCGGCGAAAGTGCAGCGGCGCAGCACGGAGTGACGGTCGGGGAACGGGAGGCGCGTGCGACGACGAGATGGAGGCATCGCGCGCAAGGTGGCGGGCGCAAGGTGGTGGGCGCAAGGGACGGTGCAAGGGACGCGCGCACGGGCGCAAAGAACGGGCGCAAGGGACGGCGCAAGGGACGCGCACGGGCGCAAGGGACGGGCGCAAGGGACGGGCGCAACGGAGAAGTGGTGCGGGGACAGAAGTGATGATCGCGAATTGTGTGACAACAGCGACTCACAGCGAGACGGCCAGCAGATTTGAGATTCGCTGTGGCTGGACATGTGCTGGTTCGCCTAGCTTGACTGCGCTCTTTACAGGTGACCTCGATGTACTGGTAACAACAACTTGGCTTGTAATGTAGTCGCTGTAAAACCCGTCACATAGTTATCATTCCGTTTCGCTCCAAGTTTGTCAGGGTTTAGTTCACAAATTGTTATGTTATTATATAGCGAAACGAGTGAGCACATAACGAAGTGTGTAGAAAGTCAACTTCAGAGCAGCTGATAGTCGTCGTACCCTTACCCTCCGTGCGTGCCGTTCCTTCACTCGCCTCTCCCTGTCTCGCCGCCATACTCGTCCCGCGCAACATGGAAGCACCCGGCATGCGCCGTGTGCTGCGCGCGGCGTGGGATCAACTCGCCCATGCCGCTATACCTCCGCGCACACGCACACAAGCGCAACCCGCGCGGATGTACCTTGCACACCACACGCCTGCCGCGCTGCCGCGTGGCGCCGTTCCGTCACCGTCACCATCACCGTCACCATCATCACTCCCTGCTGCTCGCGCGTTGCTTGCGTGGGGCGGTTGGCGGATCAGCGGCGAGGGGAGCGGGCAGGTTGAGGCGCGCGGGGCAGTGGCGGGGCGAGCAGTGGCGGGTGGCGGCAGCGCGGAGGGGTGCGGCGTGGGGCATGACGTGCGGTGGCGAGGCGTGCGACAGGGCGGCGATGATGAGGCGTGGGCGCGCAGCAGGCAGTGGGGAATGGGGGGAGGGGCCGCGATGGACGCACACGTGTGGCACGCGCAAGGCGTGCGATCGTCGCACACTGACGCCGTACTCACTCGCCCTCACCTACTCTTTCCCGCGTGCTTTTTTCATTGCCTCGCTCCATCCATCCATCCATCCATCCATCCATCCATCCATCCATCCATCCGTCCTTCCTTCTCCTCGCGTCCACCCTTGCTTGGCCTCTTGTGGCCTCTTTCCCCTCCCTCGCGCTGTCGCTCGCTGCATCTGCTCGTGTAGGTTGTGCAGTGCACGACAGCCCCCACCTCAACGCTTCCCTCCCTCTACCTGTGTGTGCAGGCGCCCGCATCTCGCCCCTCCTCCTGGCTCCCTCCCCGCCTGCTCGCCGTGATCCCTGCACCGTGGCAGGAGCTGCTGGAACACCCACGCACCGCACTGCACCGCGTTGCATGGCAGTACAGGGATGCAGCAGGTATGAGTGCCACGGGCAGCATCTCGCAAGCAAACCACCCCCTGCTGCCACTGCCCTTCCGTACCTTCCTCTGCCGTGTGTTGTGCGCACTCCCCCTCGCATCCCCTGCACCGCCTTCACCTCGTGCCATGGCCACGTGCCCCTCTTCCCCCGCCCGCCTGAGCAGCATTGCAGGTGGAGGCGTTTTGGCGCAACCACTCGCTGCTGCTGCTGTCCGCTGGGGGCGTGTCCCTCTCACTGCTGCTCTGGGGCTGCTCCTTCCGCCTCGCCTCGCTCTTCCTCACCATGCCGCCCAACTCCCTCGGCCTGCCCTACCTGCTTGCCTCCTGCACCGCCGTCGTTGCGCTGGTCTGTGTCTCTCCTCTCCCTTGCTCCACCACCACCCCCACCATCCCCATCCACCACGCCCGTCCTTGCCTCCTCCACATGTCCACATCCCTCGCAGTCCTCCGTGCTCTCCGTCTCCCTCATTCTCCACTCTCCCTCCCCCATCGTCCCCTCCTCCTCATCCACAGGGCGGGGCAGTGAGGGCGCACACGAGCATGAGTCCAGCAGCGGCATACCGCATGGCCATGTGCGCCCTCAACACACATGCGGGTGTGCTTGAAGTGCTGGGAGCGCCGCTGCTGGGAGCGCCTGTGAGGGCGTACGTGCAGGGGGGCGGGGGCATCGTGCTGTCAGGCATGGCTGTGCGTGCTGCCCCGCGGGACTGCTGGCTGGTGTTCCCTGTGCGCGGTGCAGAGGGGCGTGGTGTGGTGCAAGTGCACGTGCACCGCCACAACGGCCAGGTCAGATCCCGTGCCCTGCCAGCGCCATGCCCACACACACACCACATCAATCGCTGCCTGCCCGTCATATCCTCCTCAATTTTTCTTCTACCTCATTGCCGCGTTGCTCAGTGTGATTCACGCTGCACACCCCTCATGCGCTTTTTTGTGTTGAACCTTGGCATCTGTGTGTGTGCTGTGCAGTACGACCTGCGGCTGGTGGCGGTGGATGTGGCAGCCGGCAGTGCAGGCAGCGAGTGCGTGGTGGTGGTGGGCGACCATGCTGCTCTCACGCGTGCACAGCCCTTGCTGCAAGGGCTCAGGCACGCACTGGACAATGTGGAAGGCGGGCGAGCAGGGGCAGAGAAGAGGTCTGTGGAGAATGCCCAGCAAGAACAGGGTTGATGAGGTTGAGTTGAGAGCACACTGGCATGGTGGAAGTCACAATACCTCTAGTGCACCTGCTGCTTGAAATGTTGTGTCATAATAGGTCAAGTAGTACATGGTACGGCAGCTTACTACTACACAAACGAGACTCCTTGATGGGCCACATGAATGTGGTCACTTATTTGCAGACACGTGCCACTAATAGCGCATGTGGGGCTAACATGAGCAGTGCATATAACGATCCAGCTAGAAGAGGGCCCAGCGCACTACTTGAGCACCCTTTCATGCTAACTTGCATGTTACCCCCCCAACTCTACCCCCCGCAATGCAAACGGTGAACACAGAACTGGAATTGCATGCATGGCCCTGCAACGGTGCTGCTTCCATGCATGCACCCTGCTGAACTTCCACGCAGCAAGCATTGGGCGGTGCCACTTTCCTGAGTCTGCACTCCGGCCGTACGTGCTCAGCTGGGCCATTCCTTTTTACCAGGGATGGAGCGAGCTCCCTGCAGCTGCATTGTGGTGCAGGCAGAGCAGGTACCGTGTGGGGGGAGAAGGATACCATGTAGGCTATGCTCATGCATGTGATGTGAAGGAAGGGCAGTCGGAGAGGCAGAGTAGGTTGCAGAGCAGGAGGGGGAGGAGTGGGGAGAAAGGGGGGAACTGGTGAGGAGGGCAGGAACAGGGCGCAGGAGTGAGGTGAGGATAGGAGGTGGAGGTGTACGGACAGGCGGTGCTGCCAGCAGCACAAACAGCACGTACCCGCCCTACAGCCCATTGGGGTGAAGGGGGCCAGGTGGGGTGAGAGCTGGGGGGTGTGTGTGTGGGGCAGTGTGGGGGTGAGGGTGCAGTGAGAGGTGCTGCATGCCGCCACTCATGTGGCACAGCAGCATGTCCATCAGCCCCTCGCTCTCCGCTGCCTGCTCCGCATCCACCTCCCCTGCCCCCACTCCGCCCCCGCCCGGCCCCCCTGTGTCCTCCAGCCCATGCTTCCACCATGCGTCCACCCCCCCATCGCCCACCACACCCGCCTCCCCACCCGCATCTGCGGGAAAGAGGGCCGGCCACTCACATGCCCTCCCACCATCACACACATCTGCGCCCTCATACGTGCCGTTTGCACCCCCGCAGCTGCCACTGCCGTTGCCATTCCACACCACTCCGCCCTTGCCCCTCGTCCCCTCTGCCTGCGCATCCGCGCCTTTCCTGCTCTCACCCTCTCCTCCCACCACCCCGCCACTGTCTGCCACGTCAGACTCCTCCGCCTCCCACTTGCAAGCAGCAGAGCCGTTGCCGTGCTCCCCCCCCGGGCCCCCATCATCCCGGAGGAACATACCCACCTCCTCCCACTGCTCCTGCTTCACCACCGCCCCTCCCTGCCCCACTACCCACTCGCCTCCACTCCTGCTCCCCGACACGCCCCCACCACCCGCCCCCTGCTCCCCCTCCGCCTCTCCCCCACTGCCTGCGCCCTCGTGGTTCCCCTCGCCCTCCGCGGGTGCAGGGCGCCCTGCAGCGGGCGCGTAGGAAGGTCCGGGGAAGCCAACCAGGTGCTCTGGGGTGAGCTGCAGGGGGAAAGGGGTTGGCGAGGAGGGGCAGGAGGGACAAGGAAGAAGGGGGGTAGGAAGAGAAAGCGGGAGTGGGAAAGAGTGAACGAGAGGAGTATGCGTGTTGAGGAACGAGGGGGAGGGGCGGGGAAAAGGGGGAGAAGAGGAGAAAGGGGGAAGGGGAGGTTTGTTTTATGGGAGATGGCGAGAGTGATGTATGGCAACATGTACCTAGTGACCTGATTGAAATGAAATTGCTGCATGAGATTGACACGGGGACTGGTGCTATGGCGTGGCATGGTGAGAGGGGGGCTAGCGGCACCTGGAAGAGGTCAGCATCAGGCAGCAGGTCGTCCTCAGGCATGAGGTCGTACTCCATGGCTGACAGCTTGCTCGATAGCAGCTGCACGCCCATGCACGCAGGGCGGGGGAGAGAGAGAGCGGACGGGATATGCAGGAAGGAGTGATGATGGTGTGCACATGACAGGTGTCACGGGCTTCATGCATACTCAGTTGGTCCATGGATGTGAAGGGTAGAGCAGGGCACTTACTGTGTAGTGGTGTGCGGTGCATGGGTGTCTCACTCACCTCGACCTGCAGCTGCAGCGAGCGCACGTAGTTGATGATCTCGTCCAGTATCATGGCCTTGCCCGTCACCTGCTCTCACACATGCACATGCCACCACACATGCACACGCACCCGCACACGCACACACGCGCGCACGTACACATGCAAGCACACACACACACACGCACGCACTCACACACGCACGCACGCACTCACACACGCACACACTCATTCACGCACGCACTCACACACGCGCACACACACAAAGATGAGTTAGCCAGAGTGTGAACGCCCTCTGCAGCGTATCGTTGCTTCACCTGGTGCAGCACAGCACGCCATATGCTCTGCACTCTCTCATCCCCACTTGCAGCCCTGCACCCTTAACCTGCAACCGCCACCACACTCCCCAACCCCCCCTTCTCCCAGCTGCGTGCTCACCTTAGCGCACGTGGGCACAAGGCTCTGCAGCACACTCATGCGCTCCGATATCTTCTCCCTCCGCACCTGATGCCACACACGAACACACACACCAGGGGTGGCCCGGGCAGGCACACACAGGGCAACGACGGCAGGGAGATGCAGGTGCAGGAGGGATTCAGAGGGAACACAGAGTGGATATGAAGAGAGAACACGCAGCAGGAATAACATGCATGCATATTGGTCGCATAAGAAATCATAAGCACGCATGGCATGACACGGCACGGCACGGCAGGGCACGGCACGGCACGGCACGGCACGGCATGACACGGCACGGCACGGCACAGCACGGCACGGCACGGCACGGCACGGCAGAGCAACGCCGGGCATGGCAGGGCAGGGCAGTGCATGAGGGCATCTCACCCGCTCGGCAATGCTATGGCTGTCCGTGGCCTGCCCTCTCCTCGCTCGACCATGCCCCACTCCCGCTCCCCCACCCTTCCCCTCCGCGCTCCTGCCCCCCCCCTTCACCCCCTCTCTCCCACTGCTCCTTCCCTCCTCACCACTCCACGCCTCCTCTCCCCCCCAGCGGCACTGCCTCTCCATCCCCATGCCCATGCTCTGCTCTGCCCCAATGGCGCTCCCACACTCCCCATCCTCCCCCTCGCTCTCCTGCTTGCACCACTGCCCCTGCCCGCCCCCACCACCAGCACTGCCAGCAGCAGTGGCGGCGGTGGCGACGGTAGCAGGACCAGCGTGTGAGGAGGAGAAGGGGGCAGCAGCAGCAGCAGAAAAGGTGGACGTCGATGGCTGCACGTGGGGCTGCATGGGCGAGCAACGGGTGAGAGGTGGGGGGAAGGGTTGAGGGGCGCGCAGTGAGAAAGGCGCATGTGCTGCTGAGCATCGCACCACCCACGGCGATGCCCTGGTGCCCGTGGGTGGGTGCCGCGTGTGATAAGTGCAGAGAGTAGAAGAAACTGGGGGGGATGCGCAGGCAGACATCCGATGGGAGCTGAGACAAAATAGAGGCCGGTGCAAGAGAGGAAAACGGGGATGGTGAGAAAGAGGTGAGGAAGTTGGGAGGGGGTCAGCGGTGATGGGGGTGAAGGGGGTGAAGGGGGTGAAGGGGGTGAAGGGGGTGAAGGGGGTGAAAGGGGTGAAGGGGGTGAAGGGGGTGAAGGGGGTGAAGGGGGTGAAGGGGGTGAAGGGGGTGAAGGGGGTGAAGGGGGTGAAGGGGGTGATGGGGGTGAAGGAAGGGGGTGAAGGGGGTGAAGGAAGGGGGTGAAGGGGGTGAAGGAAGGGGGTGAAGGGGGTGAAGGGGGTGATGGGGGTGATGGGGGTGAAGGGGGTGAAGGGGGTGAAGGGGGTGAAGGGGGTGAAGGGGGTGAAGGGGGTGAAGGGGGTGATGGGGGTGAAGGGGGTGATGGGGGTGAAGGGGGTGATGGGGGTGAAGGGGGTGAAGGGGGTGAAGGGGGTGAAGGGGGTGAAGGGGGTGAAGGGGGTGAAGGGGGTGAAGGGGGTGAAGGGGGTGATGGGGGTGAAGGGGGTGAAGGGGGTGAAGGGGGTGAAGGGGGTGATGGGGGTGATGGGGGTGAAGGGGGTGAAGGGGGATGGGGGTGATGGGGGTGATGGGGGTGATGGGGGTGATGGGGGTGATGGGGGTGAAGGGGGTGATGGGGGTGAAGGGGGTGAAGGGGGTGAAGGGGGATGGGGGTGATGGGGGTGATGGGGGTGATGGGGGTGATGGGGGTGATGGGGGTGAAGGGGGTGAAGGGGGTGATGGGGGTGAAGGGGGTGAAGGGGGTGAAGGGGGTGATGGGGGTGAAGGGGGTGAAGGGGGTGAAGGGGGTGAAGGGGGTGAAGGGGGTGAAGGGGGTGAAGGGGGTGAAGGGGGTGATGGGGGTGAAGGGGGTGAAGGGGGTGAAGGGGGTGAAGGGGGTGATGGGGGTGATGGGGGTGATGGGGGTGATGGGGGTGAAGGGGGTGATGGGGGTGAAGGGGGTGAAGGGGGTGAAGGGGGATGGGGGTGATGGGGGTGATGGGGGTGATGGGGGTGATGGGGGTGATGGGGGTGAAGGGGGTGATGGGGGTGAAGGGGGTGAAGGGGGTGATGGGGGTGAAGGGGGTGAAGGGGGTGAAGGGGGATGGGGGTGATGGGGGTGATGGGGGTGATGGGGGTGATGGGGGTGAAGGGGGTGAAGGGGGATGGGGGTGATGGGGGTGATGGGGGTGAAGGGGGTGAAGGGGGTGAAGGGGGTGAAGGGGGTGAAGGGGGTGAAGGGGGATGGGGGTGATGGGGGTGATGGGGGTGATGGGGGTGATGGGGGTGAAGGGGGTGAAGGGGGATGGGGGTGATGGGGGTGATGGGGGTGAAGGGGGTGATGGGGGTGAAGGGGGTGAAGGGGGTGATGGGGGTGATGGGGGTGAAGGGGGATATGGGGAAGGGGAGAAAGGGGTGGGGATTGGAGCATGGGTGGGTGAGCGGGGTGAGCGGGGTGCACGCACCTGCGCATGCGGCCATGGCACGGTGCCGTGCGTGTCAGCCGGCAGTCGACGCCGCTTGCGACATGCCATGGCCTCGTCCCCGCCCACTGCATGCCCCATACATACACACACACAGACACACGGCAGTGGGGGTGACGGGGGGGGGAAGAAAGGAAGAGGAAGGAGGGTGAGACGGTGTGGTGCGTGTGCATGGGGGGCAACAAAATTCTCTTGTGAATGGGGCTGCGTGTGCATGCATGCAAGGGCAGGCACATGCCTGTGGCCAAAGCGATTGGCTGTGCATCAGAGTGCTTCCACCCACGAAAGGGCAGTGACAGTCTTCCTACCGTCAACAGCCTGTGCGCGGTGCACTGAGGGCGGGCAACTGTTGGTGCGAGTCAGTTGCCTCACTCCCCTTCCCAGCAGTTTCCTCCGCGCCTCCTCCCTCTCCCTCTCCTCCCAATCTTCCCCCTCCTCCTCCACACTCAACCGCTCTCCCCCACTGCTCTGCCCTGCCGTCGCCTCCCCTACCCCCTCTGCTGCTGCCTCCCCTTCCCCCTCACCGCTACCGTCCAATGCTTGCCACACCATGTTCCAAGCCGCGCCCTCCACTCCCTCCGCCCTCCCCCTCTCCCTGCCAGCACTCGCAGCCTTCAGCAGTCTGCGTCCCCCCCCACCTCTGCTTCCCCCTCCCCTCCCCGCGCCTCTCATGTTACTGTCTCCCCCCATCCCGGATTCTTCAACCGCCATCACCCCCTGCTGCGCGCCCGCTGCTCCCCCCTCCGATCCCCCCTGCGACTGCGCCTGCAGCTGCTGCTGCACCGCCCGCCAAATGCCCTCCATCTCCCCCGCCAGTGCCCCACCCTCATCCCCCCCGCTAACGGCTTTCCCCCCGGCTCTGCCCTGCCCCACCGCCCGCCTACCCGCGCCCATCCCCGCGCCCCCCTGCTCCAGCGCGGCGGCAATGGAGCTCGCTGCTGCCGCCACTGCCGCCGCTGCCTCCGCCACTGCGCTCTCGTGCGCCCCCCGCTCCCGCGTCCCCGCCCTTTCCCCACCCGTTTCCCAAGACGAGCACAATTGTTGGGGGGGATGTGGGGGAAGGTTGGGAGGATGGGTGAGGGGCGGAGGGGTCGGCGCGGAGGGGAGGGCGAGCGGGGAGAGGAGCGAGGAGGTGAAGGAGGCGGTGCGGCGGGGGGCGAGGGAGGAGAGTGGGGAGGGCGCGGGGGGGCGACCGCGGCAAAGGCGCGAGAGGAAGGGCGAGTCGGCGAGAGGGGGGCCTGGCGGGAAGAGAGGGGAAGGGGGTGTGAGGACAGGAAGTGAGAGAGCAGGGGGGACAGATTGAGAGGCGCGTGGTGCACACGGCATTGCGTGCACACGCGCGCATGCACACACGTGGCTCGTGATAGGCAAGCGAGCGCATATGAGAGCACACAAGGGCACAGCATAGCGCGACGTACCTCGGCTCGAGCTTGCACTTGCGCCTTTGTCCCTGTGCGCCTTGCTCGCCTCGCCATTACCGCCCGCCTCTCCCCCAACCCCTACGCCATGCGCCGCTGCCAGCGCCGCGGCGGTTCCAGTCGTGGTCCATCCCAAGCCCTGCACGCCCGCGCCACTCCCGCCGCCGCCCTCCGCTCCCCTCATCGTCACCACCTGCGCGCGCTCCACGTCCAGGCTCCGCGTGCGCCTCAGCTCCGCGCTGCTCTCTCCGCCACCCGCCAGCCGCGCCTGCCGCCGCGCGTACAGCGAAGATTGCGCCTGCCGCGTGCTTACGGCGGACCCGGCGATTGGCGGAGTGCAAGGCGATGCGCCGGGCGACGAGACCGCGGGGGCGGGTTGCGGCAAGTGCGGCGCAGCTGCGCTGCTCGGCGCGCAGTCGAAATCCATAGCGCCCGCGCCATTGGCGGACTGCGAATCCGCCTCGGCGGCGGGAGTAGCCGCGCCCATGGCGGTTGAGTGAGCGCCTCGCAGCAGCTCCTGAAACTCGTCGCGGCGCCTCGATCTCCTCGCGCCTCCGCTGTTGCGCAGCCTCTCCCTTTCTTCCCTCCCGTTCCCCTTTTTCCTGGTTCCGCGACTTAGTTTGGCTGCTTGATGGGTGCCGCAAGCGCGGAAGCGAAGCGCAATGCGCGCAAGCGCTGTGTGAAGTGACGGGTTTTTGTTCAAGGCGCGACAATAGCCGTCAGAATTGGCAGTGATGTGGCATGGGTGACACTAGCGAGTGGGAGGAGTCAGATACAGTACTGGCTAGACAACTCGCACATATGTTGAGTGAACACCCATGGATTCCCTCGTCTGGTCAGCTGTGGTCTGTCGTGTGGGGAACGAGGGAAGAGACGTGGTTGTCGCACAGACCGAGCAGTGCGAGCCACCCCCTCTTCCCCCCACCCAACCAACCCACCCACACACCCCACCTACCACCCGCCCTGGCCCCCTCCAACCAACCACACGCCGCCGTTAACCGCCCTCACCTTGCCTCACTGCCGCGCCAGCGCACACTTGCACACGAGACCACCTCCGCGTCCGCGATCTACAAGTGCAAGGTGGACAAATTCGATAAACGCTGTACGGATTTCATCAGGAAAGTAATACCTTTTATCTTGTGCTTATCTGTGCTGTGAATGTATGATTCCTTGGAATTTCTACCTGTTTTGTCTACACGGTGCATTGGGTTTTGCAATGTGACCCTGCTGTGGAAGTGCACAAGTTTGAATGCAGTCACATCTGTTATACGGGCGTCAACTAGCCCAAACACTAGTCACACATTTCGAGCAGGCTGCTTTTAGGTCATTGCTCGCGTCAGATTGCCGACTGACAGTCTCGTCTGGACCGCGTTAGTCGTACTCCGTTCTTACAACCAGCGGCTTGCAATCTGAGCCGCGGGCTCTACGAGGTAGATCGAGCGCGCGTGCGGGCGGCCAAATGGTGCTCGGCGGGATTTAGGGAGGCGCGAGCAGCGTTTCGGAAGTGCACCGCGAGTTGGTGTCGCGTGCGCGTGGTGGATAGCAGCGCGTGCGTGCTAACAGTGCGTCGCTTGCAGCATCTGCCCGCGGTAAGCCGACCAACGGTCATCAAAGCCGCGCCCATTGGCGGCAATTGCTTAGACGTAGGGTACGCACAGGACCCTGGTATCGTGGTTTGCGGGGAGTGAAGTGGCGCAAATCAGCGGCGCGACATGCCCTAGTGCCCGCAGTGCGTCGCCCGGCTAGCGGTCGGCTTAGGGTGAAATCTCTACCAGTGCCCTTGAGTTACCAATTAATCGCCGCTGCATCGTGTGTCACCGCGCGCCGTCTCACCCGCCGTTGGAAATGCGTGGGGGGTTGCGAGAGCAGCACAGGGTGGCCGTGGCATGACCGGCATTCGCGGTCACGCCATTGGATCTCGCCACCACGGACCCGCCGTCACTATCACCCCCACTCGCTTCGCACTCTCCCCTCACTGCACCCATATATATACGCGCCCTCTAGCCCTAGTAAATTCCACTTCTGATTCTCTCCGCACACGTCCCCTCCCTGCACTTCTTCCCTCCCCGCCCCGTCCTCGTCGCGCAGTGTTGTTTTCAGTATGGCGCAGGACACCCCTAGCGGGTCTGGCGGGGAGCAAGGCGAGCGCGCGGGGGAGGGGAAGGGCACGCACGCGCGGATGGGCGCGGACGGGTGCTTCGTGCTGCGCACGGGCGCGTCGATGCCGGCCATCGGGCTGGGCACGTGGCTGGAGGGCGACGGCGGCGAGCAGACGCAGGAGGCGGTGCGCGTGGCGCTGCAGTGCGGGTACCGCAGCATCGACTGCGCGCACCTGTACGGCACGGAGATGGCGGTGGGGCGCGCGCTGGCGGACGCGTTCAGCGCGGGCGTGTGCACGCGGGACGACGTGTTCCTCGCGTCCAAGGTCTGGTGCACCACCTCCAACGCCAGCCGCGTCCTCCAGGTACGCCGCCTCCCCCACCCCGCGCTGCTGCCTGCCGCACACGCGTCACACGCGCGCCCCGACCGAGATATACCGCAACTGCATCTCCTTCCTTCGCCTCATCCCTCTCCCTAACACTCTCCTCCTCCCCGATCCTCCCTCTTTCCTCCTCCCTCCCTCCCTCCCTCCCTCCCTCCCTCCCTCCCTCCCTCCCCCCCTCCCCTTCCATCCCCCTTCTGGGGCAGGCGTGCGAGCGGGCGTTGAAGAACCTGTGCGTGGCGCAGCTGGACCTGTTCCTGCTCTCATGGCCGCTCGCCTCGCCGCTCAACCGCACGCCCGCCGACGCCACGGACCCGCCCGTGTCGTCCCCGCGGCGCGGGCAGGTGTCACTGAACGTGGCGGAGCTGTGGGCGGGCATGGAGCAGCTCGTGGCCACCGGGCGCGTGAAGGCCATCGGTGTGGCCAACTTCAGCGCGCCCATGGTGCTCGACCTGCTGCACCACGCCCACGTGCAACCCGCCGTCGTTCAGGTGCGCTGCTCACCACATATGTGTGCCGCATGGCAGTATGAGATGAGAGGCGCACTCGTTTAGGTGCATGCGGTACGATGCCCGCCAGGCGTATCATGGTCAGCGGGTGGCAGTGGCACTGGGCCATGTATTGCAGCGCAGATGAGGTGGGTGCGCCCGCTGCTTAACAACCACCGAAACTCTCAAATCTATCTGCCTGCGCCTTTGTGTGGTTCTGTGTGCCTGGTTTTCTTCTGGCAGGCGGAGATCCATCCACTGTGGCGGCAGGAGCAGCTGTTGTCAGTGTGCCATGCGAATGGCATCCACGTGTCGGCACACACGCCACTGGGCACACCGGGGGTGGCACCACTGGCCCTGTCGTCACAGGAGCAGGCGGAGATGAACCTCTGGAGTGTGCCCGCCCCCGCTGGCAAGGGGCGCTCTCGCACCGTGCATGGGCCCATGCTGCGCCACTATGCCGTGCAGGACGTGGCTCAGCGGCATGGCAAGACACCCGCTCAGGTATGCCATGACATGCCATGCCATACCATGGCATCACATGTTATGCCACGCCATGCCACCCCATGCCTCGGCATTCCGTGTCCCTAGAAGCACTGTGCACATGCTTGCACGTGATGTGTGTTCTCCCATCACGCAGTCACACGCAACCCACTCCCAACCCGCACTCATGCACATGCGTGGGCAGGTGATCCTGCGGTGGGCGTTGCAGCGTGGCACGAGTGTGCTGCCAGTGAGTGTGAGGGATCAGCGCATCCGCTCCAACTACGAGCTACTGGACTGGTCCCTCTCAGACGCGGAGTGGGAGCGCATGAGCGCCATCGAGCCGCAGATCCCGCTGCTTGGTCCCTGCCTCGCGCCCGCCTCGTCGCTGCCCAACAGCACCAGCACTGGTGGCCGCCCTGAGACGTTCCAAGAAGAGGAGGAGGAGGTGGCTGGGGAGGAGGGCGATAAGGGCAAGGAGGGCCAGGGGTAACGGGCAAAAGGAGAGGGCATTGTAGATTTAGAGGGGCGGGTGTGGGGTGGGGAGGCGTGAAGGAGGGAGGGAGAGGGGGAGGCGCAGAGAACAGGAGTAGAGGAGGTAGGTGGTGTGCTGGCATGGGAGATGTTGAACGAGTTATGGTGATATCAGGTTATAGGAAAGGGCATGGGTGGACCATCTTAGCAGTGAATTAGCACTGAGTTTGGGATGCCTGTTTATTGTGCTAGGTTACTGTAGCATACCAGCATTGCCAGATAATGCTTCAAATTCCACATCCCCTTCTAGCCTTGTCCATGTTTCTGCAATCAATACTGTAGTATTGGAAGGAACGGGTGTTGTACTGTATCCGCTGCCAAAAAACTATTCCTGGAAGTGGTACAGTACAGTATTACGTATTGAAGTTCCACGCTAGTGTTATGTACATCTTCATTTATTAAGCACCCAGCTCCTGCAAGCTACCGGAGGGTGCTTCAACTTTCAAGGTGTTTTGCAGCTGCCATGAGAAATTATAAATTTTAAACACACATTGTGTTTTTAAAATTGTGTATTGTGAAAGCGAAGCTGCTTGTACTGCACATTTGGCATCGTCGAAGCGCGCTAAACGCCCTTCTCTAACTACAAAAACCGTGGGTTGGAGCTCATTTCCCTCCACCCACGTTTCTCTATTTCCAACGGCTCACTCAACTTTCCCGCTCGAGTAGTTTTTTCCTCCGTCCAAACTGGCTAGAACCAAAACGCTTCCTCGAGGCGTTTCACCCTCGACTTTACTCAGCGATATTTTTAACTTCAATCGCTCAACGATGGCACCTACGCCGGCACTTAACAACGACAACTCGGCCAACCCCGCTTCCGACTCCGACCGTAACGCCCGCGATTTTGCGGGCGATCGACGTAACAAGCGTCGGGCAGAAGATGGACCTTCCGCCCCGACTGGAGTGGACGTGCTGCTGGGCGGGCTCGATGCCCAGCACCCTTCGGCGAATGTGGCGCCAGTGGCGCCTGTGGCACCAGTGGCGCCAGTGGCAGCGGCGGCTGGCGCGACACACGCGACTGACGCGGGGCACACGCCAGCACCCGCGGCTGGACGCGACGGCGACGACCCCTACGCTGACGCAGGCGTTGACCCCGGACCAGGTCAACGCGCTGCTGTCCCTTCTACAGCAGCAGCCCGTCAGCGTTACAGCCGCGGAAACTGCACTACCTGCTGCATCTGCGTCTGCTAAAAACGAAACTGCAAAAAAGGAAAAAGGAGTGCGAGAAGCAAGGACGAATCGGCGCAACAACGACGCAGCGACCGGCGTTCCCCCTGCTCCAGCGGTCGACAACGACACCGACGACTCCGAAGATGACGCCGGTGAGGCTCCAGTCGACAATACTAATTTTATTGGCACGGAAAATCTCCCCCCCCTCCCTTCTTCTAACCTCACTTTTTCGGCGACGACATTCGTCAACGACTCCGTGCGAGAGCAAGCGGAGCTGCTGGAGGACTTGCGCGCGTACCTGCTGCACGCGGAATACAAGGCGCAGCGCGGCGACTCGGCAGGCGGACTCGAACTCATCTCACACGCCCTCAACCTCATCGCGGGGCGTTTCGAGGTGCTTCAAGTGGAGGACGCCTCCGACTTCCGCACGGCGAAGCGCTTCAAGCTGTACCAGCAGAAGAGCCTGCTGACCTCTCGACCCTTCAAGCAGGCGGTCGCGGACATGGCTGCGATGGACCGCGCCGCAAGCGCATACGCTCGCGTCAACCGCGGCGGAAGCAACGCGCCGATGCCGTTCATTCCCAAGCGGGGTCCCCCACCCACGGCCAATTGTCGTGGGTTTCGGGGCTCGTGCTTCCGCTGCGGCCAGCCGGGCCATGTGGCAAGTGCCTGCCCTAGGAACGGGCATGGTGGCCAAGGTCCCGCTCCGGTAGTGTAGGAGCGGACCATGGGAAATGCGCTCGGAGCGCAAGGCACGGTGCACTCTAGAGTGCGGAAACCGTGGGCAGCCCTAGGGGTTTGCGATGGCAAGAGGCCAGCCCTAGACAAGGGTAGAGTAGGCCTTGGGCCTAGGTTAGGGAAGGGGAACATCAACCCCTCGGTCCCATGTATTGGCCACTAGGTGGCGTATGCATGCTAGGAAAGCATTGCTATGTGTGTCGGGTCGATTTAATAAAACATTATTCCTAAAGGCCCTCTGATTTTGGCAAGTGACACTCTAAGAAACAAAGAAGTGGTGCAGAGCAAGAGAGAAAGAGAATCAGAGAGAAAGAAAGAGAGAGAGAGAGAGAGAGAGAGAGAGAGAGAGAGAGAGAGAGAGAGAGAGAGAGAGAGAGAGAGAGAGAGAGAGAGAGAGAGAGAGGGCATGGACAGCCGCATCCAATCGTGTGTGGACCGTGGGGCGAGCCGGTCGGTGCTCGGCACACTCGTTGACATAGCAATTCATTATCAATTCTGTCCACACCGTTTACAAGTGATCTCAAGCACGTGCACACATGCAACACACGTATTTTTAAATAAAAAGTGCAACCCTTGTCCCATGCCACGAACACACAGGAGCGTGGCAATACGAGGCGGCATGCGGCGACGACCCATACGAATTTGCCATAACGGACAAAACCGTTACACATATGCGCGGCCGGCTTCGCGCGACCTTTGCATGGTGGAGCTCATGGTGCTCGAGTAGCCTTGTCCTCTCCGTCATAGCCAAAGGCTATTGGTTGCCATGGAGCCACGGCCCACCGCAACCCTTCCACGATCGCAACCATGTCGGGGCGAACACGCATGCCACATTCACACGTACTGCCGTACAAGAACTCACAGAGATCGGAGCGGCAGTTCCGATGGCCGCAAAGGAGCTTACTTGCATAAGTCCGCTCAGCGTGGTCGAGCAAAAAGACAAATGCAGGCTCATTCTTGATCTGAGGAAAGTCAACGCCCACTTAATTGTCCCCAAGTTCAAGTACGAGGGACTTAACCGGGTGGCCGACCTGGCACGCGCTGGGGACTGGATGTTCTCCATCGACCTCAAATCCGGCTATCACCACATCGACATCCACCCCTCGTGCTGGAAGTTCCTTGGATTCGAATTTGGTGGACACACATACGCATTTCGATCCCTGCCATTCGGACTCGCCACAGCTCCATTCGTCTTCACGCAACTCATCAAGCAACTTGCTCGGCGTTGGCGAGAACAGGGCATCCGAGTAGTGCCATACGTGGATGACATTTTATTTCTCTGCCAGTCAAAGGCCCATGCGCAAGCTACCTGTCAGCGCGTAATATTGGACCTCAAAGCAGCGGGGCTGGTGATAAACGCGAACAAATCGCAGCTCTCACCATCGCAGCACCTTCGATTTTTGGGTGTAGAGTTGGACACCGACACCGGCCGATTCTCCATCGGTCCCGACCGACGAGTCGCGCTACATGCAACCATCCAGAACCTCCTAAGTGCAAGCAAGGCAAGCACACCAGTCCCCGTCCGTCATGTGGCCAGAGTCACAGGCATGCTCGCCTCAATGAGTGTCGCACTAGGCGCGACAGCTCGCGCATTCAGCCACGCCATGTTACAAGTGATCAACGATGCGCCGTCATGGAAAAGCAGTGTGATCGTCTCCCCATCTGTAGCTGAGGAGCTCAACTTCTGGCGCGAAGAGTTTGATCGGTTTAACGGTGCACCATTCCACGTCCGAAACAGTTACGACGCTGTAATCCATGTGGACGCCAGCTCTCACGGTTGGGGCGCCACCCTGACCACGTTCCCGGGCGGCCTCGAAGAAGCTAGTGCAACCATGCCAGAGCCGCTACGAGCAACGTCCAGCACGAGACGGGAGATTGAAGGCGTCTTTTGGGCAATCCAAACGTATGCCAACAAGATCCAGAAAAAACACGTTCTCGTGCGGGTGGACAACCAAGGTGTATTCTTCATCCTTCGCAAAGGCGGCTTTCGCAGCCCCGACCTCACCATGGCCTGCAAGGGCATCATACGAACATGCATGGAGCTCGGCACGCGCTTAATCATCGAATGGATTCCCCGCGAACTCAACTCACACGCTGACGAGCTTTCCAAAATAGTCGATCACGATGACTACTCGTTGAAGACGCCATGGTTCCGCATCTTGGAACGTCGTTGGGGTCCCCATTCCATCGACCTTTTTGCAAACTCCCGCAACACCCAGCTATCGCGCTTCTGCACAAAGATCCCTCACCCAGACGCCTTCGCAATTGATGCATTTTCGCTCGCATGGACAGGCGAAAATGGTTTCGCGTTCCCCCCGCCCCAATTGGTCCCCGCCGTCCTCCACCACGCACAACGCACCCACGCATCACTCACACTGATAGTTCCGCACTGGCCGGGCACAAGCTGGTGGCCACTACTACAACCCTCCCCATGCACGTGGGCGTCACACATCCATGCACACATCCCTCTGACACAAGGAAGCCAATGCTTAGCTGCAGGGACACATTCCACTGCCTTCTCAGGCTCAGGATTACCGCACAGCCCAATCATAGCACTCCGAGTGGTATTTGACTAATTCATAACTTCTCCGCCTTGTGTTCAGAATTGCTCCCAAAGCTACACGACCAGCTGATTAACATGATCGCACAGTCTCGTGCAAACTCGACGATCCGGACATACGAACCATACTGGACTAAGTTTCGAGCCTTTTGTACAAAGGTGAACCTTGCATTTCTCCCCGCATCCGACATGACCCTCGCGCTATACCTGGTCCACGCAATCCAACGTAAAGCTACCCTGTCCGTAGTACAGCTCACGTGCTCAGCAGTCAGCTTCGCCCATCGCATGACTGGGAGCACATGCCCGACGGATGGGCCATTCACCACACAAGTCCGCGACTTTGCGAAACGCCATTGCCCTCGCCCTACTCGTCTGAAGGAGCCCGTATCGATCCAACAAGTTCGAGACATGGCGGCGAGCTACCTGCTGTCTGACAATCCGGCGGAATTCCAGAAAGGGCTGATCCCTATCCTCATGTACTCGGGATTTCTGCGATACTCCGACCTCGTGGCTATCAAATGGCAAGACATCCAATTTGACGACGATGTCATGTGGATCCTCATACCACACTCCAAGACGGATCAGGCCGGTCACGGAACATGGATACCCATTGCGGCAACGGCGGACCCTTGCTGCCCCGTGCGCTGCACCAGACGCTTCATTCAACTTGCTGGCTACGGCCCGCACTCGGAGGGGTCGTTGATCCGCGTCTTCGGCCATGCCTCAACCAGCGTGGGCCAGGCCAGGCCACCTTCATACACGACGATCCGGAACTGGTGCAAGGAAGCCTTCGCAAAGGTTGGGCTTGGAGAGCAGCAGCTCGGCACTCATTCCTTCCGAAAAGGCGCGGCCACAGTGGCAGCCAACACCGGTGTACCAGACAGAATCTTCAAAAGACTGGGCAGGTGGCGAAGTGACACAGCCAAGGAAATGTACGTCACGCCATACGTCGAATCTCTCATCAAGGCATCGCGCATCCTGCAGAACCCGACACTTGCATTGTCCTCGGAGCAACACGCAGAGGCACTCGTACGCAACCGGAAACCCCCGCTGCCCATGTCTCAGAGGCCCCATTTGCAATGAGAACGATGCCAAATGATAAAAACAAGAAAGCAAGCTTTCTCAATATTATAAATTTTAAACACACATTGTGTTTTTAAAATTGTGTATTGTGAAAGCGAAGCTGCTTGTACTGCACATTTGGCATCGTCGAAGCGCGCTAAACGCCCTTCTCCAACTACAAAAACCGTGGGTTGGAGCTCATTTCCCTCCACCCACGTTTCTCTATTTCCAACGGCTCACTCAACTTTCCCACCACCCACCCCAGCATCGACTGCCTACTAAGGCCGTTTGGACACGGTACATTTTAGTTAGTATTCTCTGCATGTACTAGCTTGTGTTAGAACTCGATGGATATGTTGTAATATGCCATTTGCAATGAGAACGATGCCAAATGATAAAAACAAGAAAGCAAGCTTTCTCAATATGGCAGCTACACAATTGTTGTGCCTAACAATTATTTGCAGTGTAATCACAGACCTGCACTGGCCAGTTCTCTGCAGTGCCTACCACCCTCGCCACTTCGATATTCCACCACTTAATGCTCGCTCCTTCCACCCCAGCGTCTGCTGCTGCTGCTGCTGCTACCTGCACAGCTCACACTAGGTGCGCTCCTCACCAATACGCCATGGAGCCTCACCTTCTCCCTCCCACTCACTGCCATGCTTCTGCCCCTCATGCTGCTGCTGGTGGTTCCCCTGGTGGTGCTGCTGCTGCTGCTGGTGATGATGGTGGTGGTGGTGGTGCAGCTGGTGGGGGTGGTGGGGCAGGTTGTGGCCCATCTTGTGGGGCCACGCCACATCATCTTCCGCCAGGCACTCCCCCTCAACCGCATCCCCTTCCTCCTCCAACCGCCCCCTCCCCTCCCTCCTCTCCTCGCCTATCTCATCTGCAAACCGCACAAAGCTCGCCCGCCGACTCCCCCGCCCCATCCCATCTCCCCCCTCCTCCTCCTCCCCCTCGCCCTCCTTCACCTCCCCTTCCTCCTCCCTGCCCGCCACGGCCCTCGCATCCAGCCGTTCAAACATGCTGCCCCCGCCGCCCCCTTGCAGCAGCATGCGAGCAGCAGCACCAGCCAGCCCGCTGCTGCTCCGGGGGAGCGAGAAGGACGAGGGGCGAGCGGCAGGGGCCACATACCCCCGTCCTCCAAACAGAGGCCGCATGTAGGTGTCGTCTAACCAGCGCCACAGGTCGTGCAGGTCGCGCTCGTGTGCGCTGAGGATGCGCGAAGCGAGGCGGGCATCGGGCATGGGCAGGCCAGCCATGGAAGAAGCGGGCAAGCACACCACCATGTCCCCCTCCACATGCCCCGCTGCCCCGTGCGGGTACAGCAGCCGCGGCCGCGGAGGCGTGGCGCGCACAGGGGCGGACGGCACGGCAGGTGCGGCGTCGGGGGCAGAGGGTGCGGCGGGCACGGAGGGCGCAGAGGACACGGAGGTGGCAGGTGTGGAGGTAGAGAAGGGGCGCGAGCGAGAGGGGGGAAGGGAGGGCGAGGCAGCGAGGAAGAGAGTGGTAGAGGCGGGGGAGATGGGGGGTGGGGGAGGTACTTGGGCGAGGAGGGGCCTTCGCTGTGGTTGCTGGCACTGTGGTGGAGAGTGAAGGGCAGGAAGTAGTCTATGAGCGGACTCGTGAGCAGCCCAAACACCTGCCCAGGGCGCGCACGGAAGGAAGGGGGGGACGAGCGGTGAGGCGTGACGGAACGGATGAGTGTGGAGCTGTGTCCGTTGGGAGCAGTTAAGGGGAATTGTGTGTGAGAAAACGTGTGGTGAGAGGCGGGCAATAGCAATTGAGAGACAGTGGGGGGTGGAAGCAGTGCGTGCTGATGGGCCAGGAATGTGCAAGGTGCGGTGAGGTGCAGTCAGGTGCGATGAGGTGTAGTGAGGTGCGTGGCAGGGTGGTGCAACGCTCACGAGAGTAGAGAAGAGGACGAGCGCTATGGTGGACGCTATGAGCATGGCTGCCGTGGCCTCTCCCTCCTCTGAAAACTGCTCATGCTCACATGCACCCATGCACCCATGCACATATTCAACCATGCACGCATGCACACAACACCACAGGAAACAGCACGGGCATGCTGTGATGTGAAGCTGACGAAAAAGTGGAGCTGAGGAAGGATTGGGAAGTGACTGGAAGAGAGCAACAGGGCAACGAGCAAAGGCAGGAGCAGGTGGGGGTGGGGCGTACAGCAGAGTAGGTGAGGGCGATGGAGACAGCCCCCCTCATGAGACCCGCCCACCAGATGACCACCTGCATGGCATGGCGAGGCATGGTGTGGCATGGCATGGCATGGGGCATGGGATGGCATGGGATAAAAGGGCAGGGCAGGGCAGGGCAGGGCAGGGCAGGGCAGGGCAGGGCAGGGCAGGGCAGGGCAGGGCAGGGCAGGGCAGGGCAGGGCAGGGCAGGGCAGGGCAGGGCATGGCAGAGAAGGGCAGGGAAGGGCAGGGCAGCGCAGGGAAGGGCAGGGCAGCAGCACATGTTAACAGTGAAGGACAGGAGATGACAAGGCAAGGACAAGCACACGCGCTCATGGCACACGCACACATGCTCATGTGCGCCCGCTCTTGGCAGCATGCTGCAGTGCACCATGCTAGTGCGTGCAGAGACAGCTAGGGCAACAGCCACAGCACTAGCACGCATGCCTGCCATTTGCTCTCTCTCCTTCCCTTCCCACCCAATCACACCCCACAATCCTCCACTCTCGTCCTCCCCAGCCCTGCCCCATATCACACCTCTGTATGTGCCACAGCCCAACTCTCCGCCCCAACCCCCCACTCCCTCCTCCCTGCCCAAGCACGTTACCCCCCCCCCCACCCCCCATCTTCCCCCGCGCCTCCCCAGGGCGCGCACCTGGTGGGGGGGGCGCAGAGCGCGTGAGTGTTTGCGCTGCAGGTTGAGCAGGGCGGAGAGCGGGAACACAAACGCTGCCCGCCCCGCCAGCACCAGCCCCAGCAGCAGCGTGAACAGCACAAACGTGTCCCTGGGAAACGTGAGGAGAAAGGGTTGGGTGAGAGGGCGCGTGAGGGGGGGAGGAAGACCTAAGGTTGGCGCCAGGAGGGGGGGGGAGGAGTGGAGGAGAGGGGGGCCGCGCCGAGATTGGGGAGAGAAGCGTAGGAAAGACGGAGAGTGGGTTATGGGACGAGGTGGTGGGGGGCAAGACAAGGCGCAGGTGAGAGAGGGAGGGAGGGAGGGTTGCTTACCTGACGTTGACGCTGGTCCACTTCTCTGAGTCCAGGGCGTCCATGCCCACGTACATGAATATCACCGTCTCCGCTATGAACGACATCGTTGCAAACGCATGCCTGCACGCACCGGCAGCACACACATGCGCAGGGCGAGGGAAGGAGCAGATGTGGTGTGGGGGGGGCACACGGGGTGTGGGGGGAGCACAAAAACACGGCGATGAGGGAACATCTCCTCGCAGATCTGCTCTGCTGCCACTGCTGCCAGCCACTGCCCTTGTGTTCCACTGAGTTTCACAACCATGTGACCATGCAGTCATGCATGCATCTCGCAGTAGCACAACCCGTCCAGGAAAGCACACCCCCTTTCTTCTCAACCCAAAATTCCTAGTCGCGACACAGCACACCCCCCTAACCCTCCACCACCACCCCAGCGCCCTGCCCCTCCCCTCCCCACTTCGCCCACTCCCCTCTCCCCCTTCTCCCACCCCCCCCCCCCGTGGCAGCTTACTTGGTGGTGACGCGGGAGCTCTCAGTGACGTTGTGCCAGGTGTAGTGGCTCATGACGATGCCGGCGAAGAACACGGAGAGGATGCCGCTCAGGCGCAGCACCTCCGCCAGGATGTACGACGCATACGCCATCAGCGCCATCAGCGCTATCTCCCGATCCGTCGCATGGCTGCCCGTGCGAGAGAGGGCGAAGGGGAGTGGAGCAGGGGGGATGGGAGGGAGGGGACATGCGGGCATGGGAAGTGGAGGGGAGGAGTGGGGTGCTGAGTGGTTGAGACGACTCGGGTGGTGAGGATGGAAGTGTGGGGAAAGAGTGGGACAAGCGAGGAGATACTTGCAGTGATGAGTGGCTGGTGGCGCAGGAAACTACACATTGGCATGCGGGGAGGGGCAGGGCAGGGGAGGAGGAGAGCTGTGGCGGCACTTACCTGGAGAAGTAGAGTGTCTTCATCACGTATGCGGATAGCAGTCCTAGCTGCACGCACATGCACACAGGAAGAAAGGCGGACACACAGAGACAGGCGGACAGACAGGCGGGCAGGAAGGAGAAGAGCGGAAGGGGGGAGTGAGAAAGAGGCATGGTGGCAGCAGCAGCAACCGCATTCGTACCCCAATGAGTGCAAGAACCTCTCAAACACCCACGCCAGCTCATCCCTCCCTCCGCACTCCCTCCTCCAGGAACAGGCCAATCGTTGCACAAGCGCCCAGGCAGGGCAGGGCAGGGCAGGGCAGGGCAGGGCAGGGCAGGGAGCAGAGGAGCACGGACCGCAACGCCGAGCATGGTGGAGGCGGTGAAGAGGTAGAGGAAGTCAGAGAGGACGTTGAGCAGCGTGGCGAGGGAGAGCGCGTGTGCGGCGGGCGAGAGGGCGAGCTGCTGCACGGCCCGGAAGAGCACAATGGACGTGGCGTCGTTCACCACTCCCTCGCCGAACACCAGACTGTACACCAACGGCTGCTCCTCCTGGTCCAGGACCTGCTCACGTGCGTGCAGGGTATAGGTTGTAGCACGCATGCACCCAGGGAACAGGGGGTAGGGGAGTGGAGGGCACACAGGGGGGTCACACACACACGGGGGGGCACACAGGAGGAGAGGCGGGTGGGGAAGGGAAGAGAGGGAGGAAGGGGCATTGCAGGCTGCTGGTGCGCGTGGGCACGCTATGCCCTCCCCCACACACCCACCCTTGCCCCCAGCTTTGCCCATTTCTAGGTTACTACACACCCTCATGGCCTCCCGCAACCCCACTCTCTCCCCCGACTCTCCCCCCAACTCCATTATCCCCCCACTCTTCACCAAAGCCCACCTGCAGCACGGAGACAGAGTCAGTGGCGGAGAAGATCACTCCCAGCGCTGCACACAGAGGGTGGGGTGGAAGGGGGAAGGGGAACGGCAGAGGAGGTTGGGGGGAAGGGGGAGAAGAGAGAGGGGAGGGGGGGGAGGTGAGAGTCCCGAAGCAGTGACGCTGGGCTGGTGTGGTGAGTGCAGTCATTGCACTGCTGCTGCTATGTGAAGCATGCGATGGGAGTGACTACAAGACACGTGGCACAGACGAAGGTACACGTGGCACTGACCAAGGTGCACGTGGCACTGACCAAGGTACACGTGGCACTGACCAAGGTACACGTGGCACTGACCAAGGTACACGTGGCACTGACCAAGGTATATGTGGCTGGGTTGAATAGGCAGGCCGAGGAGAGGGAAGAGGAAGTTGCAACCTGGAATACAGAATGAGTGAGCAGCGAAAAAAGAGATACAGGGAGGCAAGAGAGGTAGGAGTTGATTGAAGGAGAAGGGGAGGGGTGGGGTGGAAGCAGGGACAAAGGAGGGCATGAGGGGGAGATGACAAGCGCGAGCCATGAAGAATCGGCAGGTACGCAGCATGCACTGGCAGAGAGCAGTTGAAGGGGCGATGGGCTGTGGGGAGTGGCATGACAAAAAGCACGAGCGCACTGTGGCAAGCCAAGGGGAGAGCATGCAGGGGGGTTGAGAAGGTAGGGAGTGTGGCAGTGAGAGGGGCAGAGTGCATGGCGACCTGCAGTGATGACGGAGACGGAGATGAAGACCCCTGCTATGCCGTACGCCATGATGCCCCCGAAGTTGCGGAAAAACTGCTTCTTCTTCATCTGGAACCTGCCCTCCCACGCCCGTGCCCCACCCCCGCCCGCCCCCCCACGCGGACATATGGAAGGACGCCGGGAGAGGGGGGGGAGGGGGGGAGAGAGGCGGGAGAGGGAGGGAAGGGGGGGAGCAAGGGAGAGAGTGAGAGGCGGCGAGGGGTGTGGGACAGCGGAGTGAGAGGCAGCGATAGGTGTGGTGCAGGGCAGCGGGACAACAACCAGATTCTCTCCGCACTTCCCCCTCTCACCGCACACCCTCCTGCTTCACATCCCCTGTCAGGAAGCCCCCATTACCGAGCTACCACGCGGCATGGGGGAATGGGCGCGCGCGTTACCCGGCGTTGAAGATGATGGGCGGCAGCAGGTAGATGAAGAACAGGTCCTCGTCGAACCGGAGAATCATCGAACTCGCGCCGCCCCGCACGAACAGCACCACCGTGCCCGACGCCAGGCCCTGGCGCGGATGGAAAGGTGGAAGGGGAGAGAGAGGGAAGGGGGGGAAAGAGGAGGAGGCAGCGCGGAGCCGACTGGATGCTCGCGACGACGAGACGCAAAGGGCGACGGCGCGAAAGGGGCGAACGGAAGGAGTGAGGAGAAAGCGCAAGGGGGGCCAGCGGAGCAGGGAGGCGAGGGACGGGGAGAGGCGGGGATGCATTGCGCGCGTTATGGTTAAGCGCAGCAGCGGGCGAGCGTGCAGGGGAGGGGACGGGGCACTGACGAAGAGGATGGCGGTGACGGCGTCGTTGATCCATCGCACGCCCTCCAACACGTGCCCCACCACGATGCACGCGCACAGCAGCCCCACGAACAGCGTCAGCGCCGCCACGTCCGTGCCGCCCCCCGCCAGCACTGACACCAGGCTCACCACCGGCACGCCGCCGTGAGACGCGGCGGCCGCTGCGGCCGCATGGCTCGACCCCGCCAGCGCTGAGGCCGCCGCTAAAGGCGGGGGGGAGAAGGACATGGGGTAGGAGACGTGCTCCATGAGCGCCGGCAGGATGGCGTGCGCGACGGGCGCATGGGGCATGGACGACCGCGGCGACGGCGGGCGCGACGGAGAGGAGCGAGCGAGCAGCAGGCGCGGGATGAACGGCTCACGAAAAACTTATCAGCTGACGGGCTAGGAACGTTTTAGGCTGTCAAATAAAGGAAGGCACGCTCCTAAGCGTCTAATAATGACTTGCAGCAGAGCGTTGGGCAATGTTGTTGGAAAACAACAGCATGGCATGGCATGGCGTATGGGTGGCACGAGTTGTTGGATGGCGGCGTCATGCAGCCTATCGTCGCAATGGTTAGCTTCGACTTTCGTTAGTGTTCGCAATATCCCGTCATCCTATCCGTATCCCCCTTCCCTCATGACGACTCTCGGCGACATCCCGAGTCGACAAGCTGGTTTCTAGCCAATGGGTGGTTCATCCGGGAAACAGGGTTAGGAGGGACGAATCAGGTGCTTGGTGAATGCACCCAAACCCGAATCGGTGCTCCAATAAACTGGACAAGCACACAATTGCCTGCATTCTACAGCTGGACAGCAGGTATTACTATGTTATACACACAGCACACAAAATGACAATTATTTACATGTCCAAGCAAACACAAAGAATGGGTACACTACAGCTTCGGTATACTTTTGAAAGGAAGGGTTCAAAAACTTTTGAAATTTGAAAAGTTGCCCCTAAACTGTGAGGCACACAATACAAACCCTAAACCCCGCTTACAAATGTATACTACAGCTTTAAACCAAATGATAAGGCCAGACATACAAAATTGCAATTAAAACCAACCTACTTCTCCACGCTCTCACTCTTTCCCTCCTCCACATCCATAGGTGCAGGCCCTCTGTGCTCTTCCGGATCAGTGCGTGGTGTCACTCTTGCTGCTTCCTCCACAGCCACCTGGGCATTCACCCCTGTACCTGCCATGCCGCCATGCACACCCACGCTCGGCTGCACCGGCAGCACAGCATCTGCAGGCCCCACACTCAACGCCCCTCCCGTGCGTGCCATGCCTCCCGCAGTGCGCATGCGAGGACCACCAGGGGGAATGGCATAGGGTGCAGCTGCCACGCCATGAGATGCTATTGCTGGTGCTGCCACCGAGGCAGGAGGAGCGGCAGTAGCTGTTGGGGCAGCAGCAGCAGGCAGAGCAGTTGGGGCTACAGAGGGAAGCTGCATGGCGAAAGGGTTGGTGGCAGCAGCAAGAGGGTAGAGGCTGCTGCTGAAAGCAGAGTGGGGAGGAGTGGGGTCAGCAGGGGTGAGCTGGGTGCCTGCAGCCACACGCTGTGCGCAGTAAGCAGAAGTGGTGGCAGGGGAGGGACCTGCAACGTGCGTGGGAGGCAGCACACAACCCTTCACATCCTCTCCTCCTTGCTCGCCCTTCTCCTCTGTCTTCCCCTCCTCAACAACAGAGCCACCACCACCTTCTGTCTCACCCCCACCTGTCGCCTTCTCTGTCTTCCCACCACCCTGCCTCACCTGCACTCTCTCCCCCTCTCCCCGAGCACCACTCCCCATCCCTTCCGATTCCACACCTCCTTGCCCCTCCTCCTCCTTGCCACCTGCCCTGCCTTCACCATCACCATCGCCTGATTTGCCAGCAGAACCGCCCGCAGCAGCAGCACCACCTCCTGTTGCTGTCTGTTTCGCCTCGCCACCTTGAGCGCTCTTGTCCGCGTCCACCACCCTCGTCGCCTGACCACTGCCTTCACGCCTCGCCGTTTCGCCCTGCCCTTGCTCGCTGCCCGTCGCTCCGCCAGTTTCCGTTGCCGGCGCTCCTTCGTCGCGCTCTCCCTTCTCCGTCGCAGGAGCGCGCGACTCGTCTCTCTCGTCTCGCGACTCGCGGCGGCCTTGCACTGACGCCATGGCGCGCGACTTTCTAGCAAGTAAAACTCAGGAGATCGCTGTGCTCTGCAGGAATCAAGGCGGGAGCAAGCAGCAGGTCTCGCTTGATCGGCGAAAACGCGTTTCACAATTGTGCCCCTTGCTCCTGGGAGGGAAGCCATTTCCCTCAGCAGCGTCGGTTGGAACATTTCGGTTGGGTTCTTCCCGAGGCGCACGAGCAAAAGCAAAATTCCAATGTGAGCACCAAACAGCACGCATGCATGGTCCGCAATGCCCAGCTCCGCAGTACGGTACCACCGCCACGTGCCCTCCTTCATGCCCTCGTGGTCCCTCCGAAAGAGGGCGTCAGCTCGTCTTACATACAGTCAACTCGTGTGTCGCGAGCATCCGCCTCTGCGGGTCTGGTCTGGTCGCATGATGGCACGGCCACAGCGGCAGCAGTTCGCTGGAAGTGATGATGCTTGTTCGTGCTTCGCTGCGCTGCTCTGACGCTAACCAGGAGTACTGATTCACGAGAGCTCGGCGGCCATCGCGCGCCTGATTTCGCCCTCCGCACGGCTACGAACCGATCATGGCAGAGCGTCAGCAGGAACGCGCGTCGCCGTCACAACCGCAACAGCAGCAGAACCAACCAGGAGCGCCCATGGCGACGGACGCGCAAACGGAGGTAAGGCAGCGCAAGCGCGCCGCGCGGGAGAATCCGGGACGTGCTGCCATGTGCTGCTCGTAACGCACTCCCGTTTGCTGCGGCTGTCTTTCCGTTGGAAGTACGGATCGTTTGTGCTTCTTGCCGCCTTGCTGATTTGCCATCTGATCGATACTCATCTGGCTCTTCTCCAATCCGCCGCGTGCACCCTCTGCTTCAGGCGCGCGCAGCATCAGTCGAGGCGGTGCAGGCGGCGCAGGAGGCGGAAGAGGCGAGCAAGCGCGCGTACGTGAAGCAGGCGGAAGCGCAGGAGAAGATGCAGGTGGCGGCGCAGGTGGCGGCGCAACAGCAGCAGGCGGCGAGGCAGGCGGCGAGCATGGCGGCGAGCGAGGCAGCGCGCGCTGTGAGGGAGGACGAGCGCGCAGCGGGGCGGCAGCAGCAGCAAGAGTCCGCAGTACAGGGCATGATAGCGCAACAGGCGGCGCAGATGGCGGTGCAGCAGCAACAGCAGCAGCCACAACAGCCCATGCAGGCACCAGTGCAGCAGCAGCAGGGCATGGTGACAGGCCCAGGTACCGCATCTTTCCCTGGTGCTGGTGGAAGCTATTACTCAACAGCTCCGGGGGCTGCCATGAGTGGAGTGGAAGGGGCAGCAGCACCGTCCTTGGCAGCAGCGATGCAGGGCGAGCATGCAGGGGCAGCAGCGCAGGCGTTTGTGGCGCAGATGGCGAGTGAGGCGGCGGAGACTGCAGCACAGAGCATGGCAGCAGCACAGCACATGGCCGCCTCTGCTCCCAACGATGCTGCCGTGCAGCAGGTACCTAATGCCCATGCTGCGACCCATGCCCCCATGTGCTCTTTCTATGTTCTCCAGAGAACATAACGTATTGTTTCTGCGTGTCAATGTGTGGGTGTGGAGCAGGCGGCAGGGCAGCAGGCAGCGTTATCAGAGGAGCAGATGGCGCTGGCACGGCAGCTGGCAGCCGCGAGCAATGATCCGGGCACGGCATTGCACACGGCACAGGTCATTCAGCAGTACCAGCAGCAGATGCAGCAGGAGGCTCTGGGCCAGCAGTAGCTAGGGGTGGTGGTGGAGATAGGCACTGCATGCTTTGTGCTTTCACTATATTTTTGGTGGTTGATGATATGTTTTGTAGTTGATCTATAGAGTTTCCAGGACAGGTGGTGCACGTGGCTGTGTGCTGTGTATAGATTCAGATAACTACTGAAATGTAAAAAACTTTTAGCAATCTGCAACGGAATTCCACTGTACCGAACTTGCCATAACGCCTCCCATTCTCCAATGATCTGATCTCCTTGCTCCCTCCCCGCCTCAACTCAGCCCACACCTCCTGGATCCCACCGCCGCCATTCTTCTTACTTTCAGTGCCTCGCCCTCCCCTCACCCCGAATCCGTCCGCCAATTGGCTTCTTTGTCCCGGGCTGTGCAAGTGGGAGAAGCGGCGTGCGGGGGGGGGGGGAAGCGCGAGGAGGGAATGCGCGGGAGGTGAGTTGGAGCGATGAAGAAGGCGCAGGAGAAGAAGGCGAAGCGGCACATATACAGCACGGGCGCCGCTGGGTGCGGCGGGAAGGCCGCGCCCACCAACGCCAAGAACGCCGGGCAGGTGCGATCGCGATTGACCATTGTACCTCCCGAATCCCTCCGCTGCTACTCCACCTCGTTAACCCGCCCCACCCCCCTCACCCCACAGGCACGTTCCCCTCTCGCTCTCTCCCTCACCTCCCGTCTTCCTTCCCCCATCCGCCTTCTCCCGTCCCCCTCCCACTCCTCCCCGGGCTCTCCTGCCTTCGCGCCTCCCCGTTTGTTTACCGCGTTTCCCGCCTTCGCGGCTCCCCCGCAGCCGCTACCGTGTCCGTTCTGCGAGCGCGTGTTCAAGCAGGACGGGCGCCTCAAGGACCACGTCAAGAGCCAGCACGCTGACGCCGCCGCCGGCAATGCTGACGTGGACACTCCCAACGGAGCGCCGACGACAGCTGGTGCTGCCGCGCAGGGCGTGGGCAGAGGGGCGGGCGCCACGGGGGCAGGCGCGATTGCGCGGGGAGGTGATGGGGCGGGGAGGGGGATTGGCGTGGCAGTAGGGGGAGCGGATGGGGAGAAGGGCGGAGCGGGAGTGGGAACGGGAGCGGGAGGGGGGGGCGTGTACTATGTGAAGACGCCCAAGGTGCTGCTGAACGAGTGGTGCCAGAAGAACAAGCGCCCCACGCCCAAGTACAAACACGTGCGTGCATGCCTCCCCACCTCGCCCTCCTCTCGCATTTCCCTGTCTCGCCTTTCCAAACACTCCCCCTTTCCTCTTCCCCACCTTTCCCCCTCTCCACTTTCCTCATACTTCCTCCCTCAACACCCCTCCGCCCCTATGCCGCCTAAACTTCCTCCCTTCCCCATCTATCCCCCCTCTTCTTCTCCATCCTTTTCTCCTCCCCGCCCCTGCTGCGCGCGCAGGTGGAGGCGCCAGGCGGGGGCTTCCACGCGCGCGCCATCATCCCTGATCCGCGCGACCCCACACAGGACACCATAGTGTGGTGGCGCGGCACGCCCCCCGCGCCCTCGTCTCTGGACGCTCATAACCGCGCCGCCACCATGGCCCTGCACCGCGTCCTCGGCTCCACCAGGTGGAGGGAGGGGGAGGGGGAAGGGTCGGGGGGAGGGGCAAGAGGTGATGGGAGGGAAGGTGGGAATGGGGCGAAGAAGGAAGGGGCTGAGGTTTGGTGCGTGTGGGAGGGGGAATACTTGTTTTGAATTGGATGGGAGGGAGGGGGAAGGGGTGGACAGGCCTGGATAGGGAGAGCAGAAGCGTGCTCTGCTCGTATTCCCATCATCTTTCCTTTTCACCCGACTTGCTTCCTCTCTCTCACCCTGCCGCATCCCACCTCCCACGCCCCATTCGCACACAATTAGCCTTCCTACCCCTCTACCCGTGCACCGATGTGCATTGCAGGATGGACCGAGTGTTGGGCGAGGAGTACCGGCAGCAGTGGCGGGATCTGGACCGCGAGGGGGAGGACAGGAAGGAGCGTGACAGGCGCCATGCTGAGGACAGGCAGAGGCGTGAGGAGCGGGATCGAGCGCAGCAGCAGCGGCAGGTGCAGCGCGCGAACGTGTTCCTGAGCGATGATAAGCGCCAGCTCGTGCACGCCCTGCTCTCCACTGCCCCCGCGCCTGCCGCCGCCTCCTCCCTGCCTGCCCCGTTTGTCGCCACCGCTGCTGCTGCTGCTGCTCCCCAGGGGGGTTCGGAGCTTAGCGGGTCTTATGCTGCTGCTGGTATTGCTTCTGCGTCGCTGCAGGCAGCGCCACCAGCGGCAGCAGTGGCTGGTAGTGGCAGCGAGAGTGAGAGCAGCAGGCAGGCAGTGGCCAATCAGCTGCTGGCATCTGGCTTCCCGCTGGACTGGACACAGCAAGCCACAGCCCACTGTTCCGACTACGTGGCAGCACGTGATTGGCTCATCCTGCACATGCCAGAGCACCTGCTCCCAGCCCAGTTCACCGCCTCCTCATCCGCCTCCGCTGTTGCAGTGCTGCACTCCGCGTCTCCCGCTGCCATTCCCTCCGCCACGGCCCTCCAAATCGACCAGTGGCAGCCCGGCATCTCCCTTCAGCTGCGCTGGCTCCTTGCATGTGGCTACGACGGCCCCTCCGCGCTGCAAGCGCTCTCCCTCACCGCCCGCAGCGGTGCAGACGACGAGGTGGCAGCGCTGCAGTGGCTCCAGCAGCAATATCCCCTGGACGTGCGCGGTGCACAGGGCATGGGGGGAGGGGTCGGCGCGGAGGGGGGAGAAGGGGACGCGGAGGGCGGGGATTGGGGGGAAGGGGAGCAGCGGGGCGAGGGGGAGGTGGGGGAGGCGAGGGAGGAGGAGCGCATGGTGCTGGAGGCGATCTTTGGGGCGGACCTGGCTGTGCGAGAGGTGCAGAGCGGTGCTGGGGGGTTGGCGGTTGTGATGTCGGTGCGGATCAAGCAGGAGGCGGGTGGTGGTGGGCATGGGGAGGGCGAGGACAGCACCTCTGCACATGCTGCTGCTCTTCATCTTGAGGTGCGCTGCCAACCAGTGAATCCATTGCGCTTTTTCAAACTTTTCTGTGCTGCACGCGTGTGGCACCCTCCCTTCCCCTCCATTGCCCCCTCCAACTTCCCTTCCACCAACTGCTGCTTTTCCTGCACTCTCCCCCCAATCTCCCCCCACTCGCTCCCCACTACCCCCCAGGTCATCATTCCAGCCACCAGCTCCTACCCCTTCTCCCTCCCACTCCTCGCCTTCCGCCTCTCCTCCTCCAACCCCATCCCCCTCCCGCCCGCCGTCCCCCTCTCACTGCGCTTCTGGTCCGCCTGCGCCCTGCACTATGCACGCAACAGCCTGCCCCCTGGCATGGGCATCGTGCACTCCCTTGCCACCTGGGCTGCAGACCACGCTCTCCCCGCCTTCCTCTCTCTGCTCTCTCCCCGCCCTGCCTCCTCCGGTCCCTCCCACACACCCCTGCTTCTCCCTCACCTCGCTTCGCTCTCCCTCGCTCCCTCCGCCTCCCCCTCGTCTGCCGCTGCCTCCCTCTCAGCACCAGTCGCTGCTGCTGCCAACACAGCTGCCGCAGCAGTGCCAGCTACTCCTGGTGCTGGTGCTGCCAGCGCCGCCGCTAGTGCTGGCAGGGACGTGGCAGTGCGGGCAGCAGGGGATGACGCATGGTGGCAGCAGGGCACAGCAGCGAACAAGCCAGGCAGGGGAGCAAGGCGGGGAATGGGGGAGGGAGAGGCGAGGGAGGATTGGGAGCGGCTGAAGCGGCGGTGGGAGGAGATGCAGGGGAGCAGGCAGCACGCGGGCATGATGCAGACACGGAGGGGGCTGCCTGTGGCAGCGTCTAGAGCGCAACTGCTGGCTGCACTGCAGCAGTCGTGGGTGGTGGTGGTCAGTGGCGCCACTGGCAGCGGCAAGAGCACCCAGGTCCGTGCTGGGTGAAGGCCTGGAGGGAGTGGGGAATGTGGGAGGGCGGAGATGGAAATGGGCGCAAGGGGATGGGATTCGGGGATGGGAGGCGAAGGGAGGGAAAATGGGGAGGGGCGTGGGATAGAGCAGAGGTAATGGAGTCATCATGGGTTAAGTCACTGTAGTGCCTCAGTGCTGCTGCTCCGCTCATTCAGCCCTCTTCACTCCATCCACCCCCATTCGTGCCACATCACTCTCGTGCCTCCCCTTCCCCCTGACCCCCCTGATCCCCCTCCCACCAGGTGCCCCAGTACATCCTGGAGGGAGCACTCGAGGAATCTACCTCTTCACCTGCCTCGTCATCTCTCCTTCCCCTTCCCCACTGCCCCTCTGCCCCCCACCCCACCAGGTGCCCCAGTACATCCTGGAGGGAGCACTCGAGGAGTCCGCTGCTGCACCAGCGTCGTCCTCGCGCCCTGCACCGTGCTGCTCCGTGGTGATCACACAGCCACGCCGCATATCGGCAGTGGGCCTCGCGCACAGGGTGGCGCAGGAGAGGGCTGAGACCGTTGGCGACACTGTGAGTGCCACGTGCCCTCCCTTCCTCCATCCACCCTCGCTCTCTCTGTTTCTCCTCCTCCCCTCCTTTCTTGTGACGAAGCCATCTTGCAACCACCCACCCTCCTCCATGCGTTTCCTTTACCCCTGCTCCCACCCTGCCTACCCCCTGGTGAGGTACACCATTTCTCACGCACCTCAAAAACCCTCTTACTCCCCACCATTTTCCTCCAATCCTCCTCTCCCCCCGTCCCTTTCCCCTGCCATCCGGCCACCAGGTGGGGTACGCCATTCGCATGGAGGCACGGCGCTCGCAGCGCACGCGCCTGCTCTTCTGCACGACGAGGCTGCTGCTGCGGCGCCTGCTGGCGGACCCACTGCTGGCGGGGGTGTCACACGTGGTGGTGGACGAGGTGCACGAGCGCTCTCTCGACTCCGACCTGCTGCTGCTGCTGCTGCGCTTCACACTCCTGCAGCGCAACTTGGCTCAACAGCAGGGGCCGGGGCAGGAGAAGCTGCCTCTGTGCGTACCGCATTGCACTTCTGCCTCCCTGCGTGATCACTTCCCGTACTCCTGTTGTTTGTCACCCAACCTTGAGTCTTTCGTTTCCATCCCTTCACCTCTCTCGCCTGAACACTGTCTTACCTCCTCCTCGCTCCCTGGACCCACCTTCCTGCTCCTCACCCCGTCCCACCCACCAGTTCTTCCTTCTTCCCCCCTTTCGCCCCCACCCCTTCCCTCTCTCTTGTGTCCCCTGCAGGCTGCGCATTGAATCCTGCTCGGTTCCTAATTTTTGTGTGTGTGTTTTTGTTGGCCAAATTCTCGTCTCTCTTTTCCATTCTTGCACCTCCCTCGCCTGAACACCGTTTCTCACCTCATCCTCGCCCCTCCCAACCCACCTTCCGTTTCTCACCCATTTCTTTCCTTCTTCCCGCCCACCCCCTCCCCTTCCCCGGCATCCTCTGCAGGCTGCGCATCATCCTCATGTCAGCCACAGCCGATGCACACGCCTTTGCAGACTACTTCCACCGCCTCCTCCTCTCCCACTCCCACCACTTCCCGCCCTCCCTCCTCTCTCCTCTCCACCCCAAATCCCCCACGCCCTCCACTCCCCTCTCCTCCCTCCTCACCTCGCGCCTGCCGCGCCCGGCGCTGATCACAGTACCAGGGCGCACCCACCCGGTGCGGCAGCTGTTTCTAGAAGATGCTCTTGCCGTCACCAACACGGTTATCGGCCGCAACTCCAAGTATGCACGCAAGGGCGCAGGCAAGAGCAATGCTGTTGCAGGAGGCATGGCTCGCGGGGAAGGTGCGGGCAGGGAGGGTGGCGGGGCTGTGGAGATGGGGACAAATGGGGGCGGAGCTGGAGAAAAGGTGGGAGACGCGGAGGAGGGTAAGGCGGAGGGGAAGGATGAGGAGGAGGAGGAGGAGGAGGAGGAGGAGGAGGAGGAGGAGGAGGAGGAGGAGGAGGAGGAGGAGGAGGAGGAGGAGGAGGAGGAGGAGGAGGAGGAGGAGGAGGAGGAGGGCGGGTGGGAGTCTCTGGCAGACGATGCGGGTGATGTGCGCAGCAGCAACAGCAACAGCAGTGGGCGCAGCAGTGGTGCGGCACTCCATGCGAGCGCTGCTCCCATGGCAGAGCAGGGCATGGGTGTGGCAGGCGGCAAAGGAGTGGGCGGACAGGGGGCAGTAACAGCAGCAGGGACAGGAGGAGCGGTAGCAGGAGCAGGGCCAGGAGCGGTGGCAGGAGGAGGAGGGGCAGGAGGGGGTGAGCAGTACAGTGAGTCCGTGTGGCGGTCGCTGGCAGTGGTGGAGGAGAGTGTGATCAACTACGAGCTCATAGAAGCACTCATTGCTGCCATCGTGCGCGCTAACACCCACCCCCACCAGCAGCAGCAGCAGCAGCAGTGGCAGCAGCGGGAAGAGGAGGCGGTGGGGTCATCAGCAGGCAGCAGCGACAGCAGCAGCACCTTCAGCTGGGACAGCGCAGCCAGCGGCAGCAGTGCAAGCAGCAGTGCTGGCTCATCGTTGCTTGTGCCTGAGCCAGCAGAGGGCAGGGCGGGCAGCGGGGCGTCAAGAGGCGCGGTCAAGGCGCGCGGCATACTGGTGTTCCTGCCGGGTATGGCCGAGATCAAGCACATGCAGCGACAGCTGGAGGGGAGCCGGGTGCTGCAGCAGGCGGTGGGGGGAGTGGGGCCGCGAGGAGGGCGGGGGGCGATGGTGGTGGTGCCGCTGCACGGGTCGCTGGCACAGAAAGAGCAGCAGCGGGTGTTTGCAGCGGTGGCAGAGGGCACGTGGAAGGTGGTGCTCTCCACCAACGTGGCTGAGACCAGTGTCACCATCGATGATGTCGTGTGCGTGCTCCATGCCCTGCCCCGCCCTGCCCTGCTCTTCCCTGCCCTGCCCTGCCCTGCCCTGCCATGCCCTGCCATGCCCTGCCATGCCCTGCACTGCCGTGCCCTGCACTGCCATGCCGTGCACTGCCATGCCCAGATGCCCTGCTGTGCTATGCCCTGCCATGCATGCATGCGATTGTACACCCTTCTGTCTGCCCCACATCACAGCCACCATACGTTCTTCTCCTCACTCCATCCACTCCCTCCCTTCCCCCTCATATTCCCTCCATCCACATCCCTTCCCTGTATCTCCCCCTCTCCTGCACCCCTCGCCCGCGGTTTCCCCGGGGAGCAGGTGGGTGGTGGACAGTGGGCGGCAGAGGGAGGTGGTGCACGATGTGGTGCGGGGCATGGACGTCATGGGGGATGCGTGGCTCTCACAGGCAGCAGCGGCGCAGAGGGCGGGGCGAGCAGGCAGGGTGCAGCCGGGGTGCTGCATCCGCCTCTACTCGCGCTCCCTCTTCCACTCGCTGCCGCCGCACACGCCACCAGAGATGCTGCGCGTGTCCCTCCACTCGCTCTGCTTGCAGGTGATGTGGGGGCGAGAGGGAGAGGAGGGAGCGGGGGGGAGAAAAGGAGGAAGGGGGAAGGGGGCGGGAGGGGGGAGGGAGGGGATCGCTGTGCGGGGTTGGCTTGGCTTGCTGTGACTGTTGAGGGTACGGTGGCTGCTTTTGATTGCTCTGATGCTAGCGGTGCCGATGGCAGTCGACACTCACGGGCTGGAGCTCAGGGGCTGGGCGGCAACCAGGGAGTGCAGGCGAGGAGGGGAGTAGCATTGGAAAGAGCGAAGTAGTCCACTGGACCAAGGCGCGCGCGCGGACCAAGGCGCGCGCGCGGACCAAGGCGCGCGCCCGGTCCAAGGCGCGCGCCCGGACCAAGGCGCGCGCCCGGACCAAGGCGCGCGCGCCCGGACCAAGGCGCGCGCGCCCGGACCAAGGCGCGCGCGCCCGGACCAAGGCGCGCGCCCGGACCAAGGCGCGCGCCCGGACCAAGGCGCGCGCCCGGACCAAGGCGCGCGCGCCCGGACCAAGGCGCGCGCGCCCGGACCAAGGCGCGCGCGCCCGGACCAAGGCGCGCGCGCCCGGACCAAGGCGCGCGCCCGGACCAAGGCGCGCGCCCGGACCAAGGCGCGCGCCCGGACCAAGGCGCGCGCGCCCGGACCAAGGCGCGCGCGCCCGGACCAAGGCGCGCGCGCCCGGACCAAGGCGCGCGCGCCCGGACCAAGGCGCGCGCGCCCGGACCAAGGCGCGCGCGCCCGGACCAAGGCGCGCGCCCGGACCAAGGCGCGCGCGCCCGGACCAAGGCGCGCGCGCCCGGACCAAGGCGCGCGCCCGGACCAAGGCGCGCGCCCGGACCAAGGCGCGCGCGCCCGGACCAAGGCGCGCGCGCCCGGACCAAGGCGCGCGCGCCCGGACCAAGGCGCGCGCGCCCGGACCAAGGCGCGCGCCCGGACCAAGGCGCGCGCCCTGACCAAGGCGCGCGCCCGGACCAAGGCGCGCGCCCGGACCAAGGCGCGCGCCCGGACCAAGGCGCGCGCCCGGACCAAGGCGCGCGCCCGGACCAAGGCGCGCGCCCGGACCTAGGCGCGCGCCCGGACCAAGGCGCGCGCCCGGACCAAGGCGCGCGCCCGGACCAAGGCGCGCGCCCGGACCAAGGCGCGCGCCCGGACCAAGGCGGCGCGCGCGCCCGGACCAAGGCGCGCGCCCGGACCAAGGCGCGCGCGCGGACCAAGGCGCGCGCGCGGACCAAGGCGGCGCGCGCGGACCAAGGCGCGCGCGCGGACCAAGGCGCGCGCGCGCGGACCAAGGCGCGCGCCCGGACCAAGGCGCGCGCCCGGACCAAGGCGCGCGCCCGGACCAAGGCGGCGCGCGCGGACCAAGGCGCGCGCGCCCGGACCAAGGCGCGCGCTCGGACCAAGGCGCGCGCGCGGACCAAGGCGCGCGCGCGGACCAAGGCGCGCGCCCGGACCAAGGCGCGCGCGCAGACCAAGGCGCGTGCGTGGACCAAGTCCAATTCTTTGCCATGCCATGTCCCGCCGCCACCACCCTCCAGCTTACCCTCCAACTCTTCCCACCGTTTTCCAAGCACCAGCACTCATCTCCACCCTTCTGCCCCGCACTGCCCCCTCTGCTCATCCCACCAGGTGAAGGCCATGCTACCATCCATGCCGGTGGCCCAGTGCCTCTCCCTCGCCCTCACCCCCCCTCCGCAAGCCGCCATCTCCTCCTCTCTCGCATGCCTGGCGTCCCTGTCCGCGCTGCACTTGCCAGCGGAGGTCCTCTCCCCTCTGGGCGCGCACCTAGCTCGTCTCCCTCTGGACGTGCACGTGGGCAAGATGCTGCTCTTCTCCGTGCTCCTGCGCTGCCTCGACCCCGCCCTCTCCATCGCTGCAGCAGCGGCTCATGCACGCCCGCTCTTCCTCGCCTCGCCTGCCCACAGGGACGTGGCCGCGCAGGCCAAGGCACGCTTCGCTGGAGCCACACGCAGCGACCATGTGGCCGTGGCAGTGGCGTATCAGGGATGGGTGGAAGCTAGGAGCGGTGGGAGGGGCGGTGGGGGGGGTGAATGGGCGTACTGTGAGGCGAATGGGCTGTCGCGGGACACTCTGGTGGCCATGGAGGGTCTGAGGCGAGACTTTGTGCTGTCACTTGCGTCCTTGGGCTTCCTGCCTGCTAGCTATGTGTCTGCGTGGATGGACAAGGACAAGGGCGCACGACATGGCCGTGTGGAGGCTGCAGCAGGCAGGGGTGGGGAGAGAGAGCGCTGGGATGTGTTCAACGAGAATTCGCAGTCGTGGCGTGTGGTAAAGGGTGTTATTTGCGCTGGTTTCTACCCCAACGTGGTGCGCGTGCAGAGGCCTGAGAAGCGCTTTGTCAAGACAGAGCATGGGGCAGTGGAGAAGGATGCAGCAGCTCGTGCAGTGCGCTTCTACACCCGAGCAGACGGCCGGGTGTTCTTGCATCCAGGCAGCGTGAACTTCTCACAGGGCACGTTTGAAAGCCCGTGGCTTGTGTTCAGTGAGAAGGTCCAGACCAGCAAGATCTTTATCAGGGAGTGCTCCATGGCTCCTGCCTTTGCCCTGCTCTTGCTGGGTGGTCTGCTCAACGTCAATGCAGAGAGGCGCCTCGTCACTGTAGACAACTGGATTCAGTTCGAGGCTCCTGGCCGCATTGGAATTCTGGTCAGGGAAATGCGCAGCAAAGTTGAGGAGGTGTTGAGGGACAAGATAGCTAGACCTGACATGGATCTTAGCAGTCATCCTGTGCTGGAGGGCATGGCTGAACTTATATCTTCTGAGGGGTTTTGAAGGACAAGACCTGAATTGATTAGTTGTGAGGCAAAGTGGGCCCAGCTTCCTTTTTGCAGCTGCTGGGATCTGTGAGCAGGTGCCAATCAAAATGGGCAATGCCCTTGTTTCCTCAAGAAGAAAACCATACCAGTAGTCACAATGTGTCTAGGGGACCGTCATTCATTCCATCAAATAACTTGAATTATTTGTAGGGGTAAAATGTATCAACCAATCAGTTCGCAGAGTATCCTGCAAATCAAGGTCAATAAATGAGCTACTAGTAACCCTGTGGTTGCCCCTGTACAGGATTGGGCGACAGGTCCCGCTTCTTTTCCCATGTATTTACACCTGCCTCATCTGCAATAGATGCTGAACAGTGAGGAGAGGCACGCTTCTTACCAACCACTGATGTATCTTCAGTGCTTGGTGTCTCTGAATCAGTTGACTCGCAATCTCCAGCAGCCCTGGTATCCTGTACATGTAAGCTGAGGGCTTCATCAATGACCGAAGATGCTGGGGAAGAAGAGCGAGGATCGCTCGAGACAACCGCTACTGGCACAACAGGTCGGAATCCCGAGGTTTTTGAGAAAGTAGCAACTCGGTGCCGCATGTCTGCCAGTGCCGCCTCTAGAACCTGCTCGCGTACTGCCTTGGCATCAGTTTCACTTGGATGCTCAGATTTCACTTCAACAACTGAGGTGCTGGAAATGGGTGCCAGCGGCATTGGGCTGGAGGTTGAGGGTGCATAGGGATGGGGGGGAGAGTTGCTTGTCCCTGCATGACTGTTGCTGCCAACTTGAGCATTGAAGACGGGGACAGGAGGGCGGGGATACCAGAGGCTGTTTGAACCGTGCCCCGAATGCGCCAGTGGTTGCTGCACAGTAGAACAGACCACGTGTCAATAAAAAATTGGAGGAATTCGCACAGCTGCCAAGGCTTGATGGCAAGAACTTACGCTTGCCTGTTGCAGAAGCGATATCGCATCATAATAGAGGCGTTGCATGCGCTTGAGTTCGCTCGAGAGAAAAGCGTTTTCCGACTGAAGACGCTCGACTTCGTCAGCAGCACAAACTTCCTTGATAGGCTCAGGTGCTTTTGATAGACCCTGGAGAACGACGAGAAGCAGAGGGTACGACACGGCGGAGTTTCAGAACAAAGGACCGGGAAATAACATACGGGGCATATGAATGACGATGTTCAGCTGCAATAATTGATACCCGTTGATTAACAAACGAGTCTCGGCGTGACTCAAAAGCTCACTTCCCAACCCGAATGGAGATCGTTACGTACAGCCTGCGTTATATGGTTGTTGGCGATTGGTACAAACGACTTCCGACGTTGGATTTCACAAAGCAGCCGAAACTCGCCCTTTTTGAAATAATCGTTTCCAAACTCCCATCTCGTCGGCGCAACCTTTCGAAATCCCTGGAAGAAGACCGAACGACGTCTGTGTAAGCACTCAATATATGCAGACAGCCACGGCAAAAAACTGAGAAAGGGAACGTACGTATGTATTTAACTGGCGAACGAAGCTTGAGAAGTTATTGTGCTTGAAATAGTTAGGAAGCAGGTCTCGTGCAAATTCCATCGGCTTCCACACAACGAAGGTGACCAGCTCAGAGCCCCAACTGACGACTTCATCAGTAGAAGAGTCATCAACCAGCTGATATGTCTTCGTGAGGAATGGCGGTGGAACCGGCCGGTGGCAGTCATGGAGAGAGGATGATCGAGTTCCTTGCTGGACCATTTTTTCCAACGTGTTCCTTCACAACTCACACCCTGCGACACACATATGCCGTGCGTCTGAGGAGATGATCCACAAACATTCTGGAAAGAGCGAACACGATTGGAAACTGAAACTCGCTCACTGACGTCGTTTCGACTTAGGGTAATCGCGAGTACCTCGAACAGTTAGCAACATTGAGTGAAGAGCTGCTGTACAAAAACAGAGTCGAGGAAAACGCTGAGCAGAAATGGTGGTTCAGAGCTCCAACAAAACGTGTGAGGCTGCTGTGGATCTTGCCTCCCTCAAGGCTATCACTCACCCTGTCGTTGTGACTCTCGCAAACACGAGGGTTCACTGGTGTTTCCACCTGCGCGCCACCAAAAGCCGAGCCTGATCGAGGTAGGACATCCGCGTCACCACCTCGTCACTCAATGCCACCATCAACCAAGATACTGGCTGGGCCCCTGGTTGAGGCTGTGGAAATGGTCGAGCAGAAACGAAACGTCAAATAAAATGTCCGCACGTAGCCATCCATCATCCGCGAACCACTCGCAAACCTTCAGTGTACACCTCACCAGATATTTCCGAAGGTAAATTGCCAGCGTGGTCTGGTTGGGAAAGGCCTGGCGCGGATCTGGGCGAATCTCGCTGTGAGCTTTTCCCAGATGCAGTACACTTGGGTACTCCATTACGGCAGGATTACTACTAGTCGGGCTATTTTACTGGGATAAAGCACACGAGAACACTTATTCCGCTCTACACAAGCAGATATGCTACATCACATATTTAAACTTGCTCCCACCACCCATCATGAATCTGGTGCAAGCACACTAGCTCACACATTGTCCTACCCCATTGCCCTATCCATTGACTAAAGATTCACATAGCTTTTACTACCAACATACCGTACACTGAATGCACATGGTCCTGCTACAACTGTGGATTGTGTTGTGGTTATGATTTGTAGGCACCTGGTCTATCTAAGCCCTACACTTGCATCACATAAGTTTAGGTACAAGATTTGAGAGAAACCAGCACTACAAAAGCAGAAGTGAGACAAGGAGAGGAAGCAGCAAACTGTATGAGCAACGCAAATCAAGTGTTCCGTGGTCAAAATTGATTCCACAGTCGAAAAAAGGCACAATGGGGCACTATTCCTTGCACCTCAGCATGCTACGGTAACGTGCATGAGGATCTGACTGTGTTGTTTTTGAGGACGTCAAGTTGCCAGTGCTGATGTGGTCTGGCTTTGTCGCCCATGGTACACCCAATGGCACTACTAGTTAAGCTCACTTGCTGTCACTCGCAGCCGCTATTGCGCGGCTCCTTGCTTCGCAAGTTGATCTTGATCCGCTTTCCCTTCTCTGCCACACCCTCCTCCACACTCCGCTTCTTGCGATATGCAGAAAATGCAACAGGCCGTGATTGCATATCAACCGCATGTAATTGAGCCAGTGCAGACGACTGACTGGTTCCGGCTTCTGTTAAGCTGTCTTCAACTCCCCTTGCCGACCCCCCAGTGTGCTGCTTCTCCTTTTCTGCCAGCAGTCCTATCCCCACTGCGGCACTGCCCACCATACCATCCCCTGATGGGGCACGTGGGCTGTCGGCACTGCTTGAAGTCGGTGGGGGGCGGATGGGCATGGGAGGGCAGGAATGAGCCAGCTGCACCCAGTCAGGCTTGGATGGATGAGAGGCAGAGGAAGTGATCCTGTATGCGCCTCCTGCGCCTGACTGCTGCTCCCTCACTTGCCTGCTATGCCTCGTTTGCAGTTGGTCCTGACTACATCCGTCCTTGCCATCATTCTCAACCACTCTGGATGCTCCTTCAGACTCCCCATGCGGCTCCTGCTTGTTCACGATGCCTGGGTGTGGGAGAAAGAGGGGAAGAGGCAGTAGATGGCATGATCAGCCATGCGATCACCAAAAAAACGAACCTTAAAACCGGAGTTCCAAGTTTTCCCAGAGTTCCCCATCCTTCCTACCTTTGGTTGGGTGTAACCCAGTAGAGTACAAACGACTTCACAAATCGTCGGTAAGATTTTAGCGACCTGAAATCACTGTATTATCGACGACGACTGCAGTGACGTGTTCGCACAATAACCAAAATTCCCCCGTATCCAAAATTCCCCGCGAAGGGGTTTATGAGTTGCATTTCAGATTTGGTAACTCTCTCAATATATTCTTACCCACGTCTAGCCATTTCGACACCACCCTGGTTCGCGAGCCAGTTCCGGCTCTTTCTCCAACCATCCTTCCTTCCTACCTTTGAAACCTATGGACCTCGGGTTTAAAGTGTCGGTAAACAACCCCTGACGTACCTGAGAGGAAGGAGAGGATGTGCATGTCTGCTGCAGCGTGCAGGGCCGTCTGGCCGCGGTTATTGGTGATGTTTAGTGCGCAACCTGGCGGCACAACAGACAAACCGAAAGGGTGCATTCAGTTCTGTTGCACGTGCGCCAGGCTAATACAAATGGGAGAATTACAACCAGTGATACGGAACGCAGTGCAGCAGAGCACGTACCAGCGACGACAAGCAGCTCAACCACCAGGCTTCTGCCTGCCTTCGCTGCCCAGTGAAGGGGCGTGTCACCAGACTGCATTTAACAGAGCGGGTCGAGCTAGCAGGGACGTCAGATTGTGAGTCATATTGAGAACAAGGGATGGGGGAAGGGTGGTGGGAAGGGTAAATATACAGTGGCGGCATTTCGTAATCTCACATGCGTTTGGATGTTGATGTCCCCGCCATGCTTCAGCAGCAGCTCAGCTGTGCGCACCCACCCGCGATCCGCACACCAATGCAATGGCGACCTGGGGGGTACACACGAAAAGTCGGTCGGAGCCGAACAGCACCAATGCGGATCCAGTTTGCAAATGCAAGGCCTCCTCGCTACGACGTACCCTACACGGCGACACCTAGTCGCTCGCCAGATTTCAAAACTGCCTAAATCAGAGAATTTATGTGGCAGTACGTAGTAATTGTTCAACTCGACGGTACTAGTCTAGCTCCAGAACCGATGGGCGGAGGATGAGCGGAATTTAGCTGTTGCTAGTACTAGTGCAAGCAATGGGACACGCGGCGAACCCGCGGCGATTAAGAAGCTCGCTTCTTTTCTTCGGAGATCAAGGAGAGGGACGATGTGCTAGTCCCAATTCCGCTCGCATTATCAACGGCCGAGCACGACACGGGCGGCTAGAATGAGGCAACGAGCCAATCATAGGAAACCTAATCCGGACCGTCGGCGAGATGTGACGGGGATCACCTGCCCAGGTGGTCCTTGCGGTTCGCGTCAGCACCCGCCTCCAGCAGCAGCGCCGCCGCGTCGCTGCTCCCCGACTCCATGCACACCAGGCACAGCGCCGACCGCCCAAACCCCTCCGGCAGGTCCGGATCCGCACCCGCCGCGAGGAGCGCGCAGATGTGCGCAATGTCCGCCGGGTGAAGGGGCTTCCGCCGGCACACGACATGCAACGGCGCGCGGCCTGGGCCGTCGCGCGCGTTCGGATCGTTTCCCGGCTGCCATAGCGGAGGCGTTGCCGAGGGAATCATCGGCGCGCTGTGACACTGTCGGGTGGCATGGTGCTGAGGAGCGGAATCAACGGACGCTGCTGCAGCGCGGAGGAGTTTATGATGCAACGGAGAGTGAACGAGGTATTATTGGGATCCGTCATGGTGCGTGGTAGGTGTGGTGGACCAAACGTCTGAAAGTTATCTTCGCTGTGGCGCGACTCGAGAAACGGCGATCAGGAAAGGAGGGAAGGGAAGCGATGATCTTCAAGATCACGACATTCCTTTCCCGTCGGCGCCGCCAAATCACGCACTCACTGACAAGTGACCGTCGGCGTCTTTGGAGCTTTTCTGGTCTGGATGAGTGGTGTGATGTCGTGTCATAGTTGTTGGAAATGGGCAGATTTGTTATTCTGCAAGAATACTGTACTAAAAAATAAACTGGAAATTAAAACGCCGTTGTGGTGCAATACAGTTTAATAGTATAATAGGGCATGCAGTCAAAGTGAAACACCTCGACGGGATCCTAGGGACCGAACCGAGCTGAAGCAATCCATGCTGTCACGTAGCGTGACGAGGAAAGCGCCGCAACCAGCGCAGCATAGGAGGACCTATAGTTACGACCACAAAACATCAGCATGGCGTCACCAAGAGTGGTGGGCGGGGGTGATGAGGGGAACGGACGGTGGTGGCAGGCAAGGCAAGGTCACGGGTGGCCTCCATCGAGAGATGAAGCGCCATGAATTACACATTTTTTTGAAGGTTTCCTGATTGCGCACTGTAGCCATGTTAGAATAACAGTTTTGACACGCATGGTTCCATCCATCATTCCACGAGAAAGAAGAATGTGGAGGAGGAAGTTCCAGCCATTGCATTGCACGGAAGGCAGTTACTGTACTGTGTGTCTCGATGCAACTGTACATGAGTTTCTGTGGAATGCAGCATTTTCTTTCATGGCGTGAATCAACAGTACCGCCTCTCGTTTCACGCTTCACGTGTCTTTTTGAACGCGCAAAAGCCAGACGATCCAACCCCGAGTGCCAATCTAGCCCACCTCGTGTCACGAACGGACACGATGTGGTGCGGTGCGGTTTCCTGACACGGCGCCCTCCCGCACAATCACAGTTCATATTTGAAGTGGATTTTGGCGGTTTCGTCGCTTCTGCCACAAGCACAAAAATCACGTGAAGCACCACGTCTTCTGAAGGTGCGCTGCTGCAAGTTGGAGTGCAGCGTGGCTGATTGTGGCCCTCTTTCGATCCTTGATATAACGTATCCTCTTGTAAGTCTCACGTGCTGCCATATTTTTGTGGCATGTGAGGAAATTCATAAACTGGTGCTGAATTAAAGATATATAATTGTTACGAGTGCAATTGAGTGAGCGAGCGAGAATTGCACTATCGAAGCAAAAATTACAAATAAGCGAAGGCATGAGCGAAGAATATATAGCGAAACTACAGTGGTAACGGTAATGTGTGGAAAATGGGGTGCGCGACGGGCCTAGCGTCGAGGTTGGGAATGCCGAGGCGGAGGTCCGGAGCGCGGGTTACCAACCGAGCCGTGAGGTTGGGTCGCGTCGTGAACAGTGGCGGGAATGGTGTCGAAGCGAGTGTCGCGAGTGGTAACGGATTACTGTTGGGTGCTGTTGGCGGGGACAGTGGTGTACGCGCTGAGTAGGGACGCGAAGTAAGGAAAAGGAATTTTCCTTACACTACCCCCCCCCCCTAAGGAGGCCCTCCTTATGAAAGCGCGTGTACATCCCGGAAATTTCGGCTGCGCAGGTACTCTGTGAGGACGGGGTGGTTTTCGATTCTGTCCAGGGGAACCCAGTTGTCTTCGGTGGGTGTGCGGTCTTTCCAGCGGATCAGGAATTCGATCCTGCGGGCTCCCCGTGGGTCACGTACTCGGTGGCTCAGTATTTTCTCGGGCGTGATGATTGGCTCTGTTGGTGGTCGTGTCATGCTGGCCGGGCGGTTGCGAGGCAGTTGGCTGGTGGATGGTACGTATGGGCGAAGTAGGCTGACGTGGAACGGCGGGCTGACGTACCAGTCAGCAGGGAGGAGGAGGTGGGCGGTGACGGGTGTGATCATGTGGCTGATGCGAAATGGCCCGCAATATCGGGGGCGGAGTTTTGGGGTGATGGGCAGGCAGAGGTTTTGAGTGTCGAGTAATACCAGGTCGTCGGGTTGGTAAGTGACGGGGCGGCGGTGTCGGTCGGCGTTGCGCTTAGTGATGACGTTTGATTTTTTTATTGCTTCTGCTGCTCGGGTCCGTGCTGCTTGTAATATTTCTGCGAACTGTTGCACGGGTGGGACTGGATTGTCGGGATTCGGGGGCATGGGTACTGTGGGGTCTTGTCCGTAGTTCAGGTAAAATGGTGACTGTTGAGTCGTGGCAGAGGGTGAGTTGTTGTACGCGAATTCGATGAGTGGCAGTTGCTGTTCCCATGTGGTCGGGTCTTCGCACGTGGCTCGGATGAGTTGTTCCATGGTCTGATTTGTCCGTTCTGTCTGTCCGTCGGTTTCGGGGTGGTATGATGAACTAAACTGTAGTCGCGTGCCGAACTGCTGCCACAGGTTCCGCCAGAAGTTGCTGGTGAATTTCGTGTCTCTGTCGCTGATGATCGATGCTGGTATCCCGTGCAGTCGAACGACGGTAGAGATGAAGAGGCGGGCTGTTTCTTCGGCTGTGATTGATTTTTTGCAGGCTGCGAAGTGTGCCATTTTCGTCAGTCGATCGACGACGACCAGGATCGCGTCATTCCCACTCGCTCCGGCCGGTAACCCCGTGACGAAGTCCATCGTCACCTGCTGCCAAGCACGCTCTGGGGGTGGTATCGGCTGCAGCTGTCCTGCCGGCCGCTTCCGTGATGACTTCATGATCTGACAAGTGGGACACGATGCCACGTGTCGTTGAACGTCGGTCAACATTTCGGGCCAGTAATAATACCGCTGCAGCTGCTGCCGTGTTTTTTCTACACCGAAATGTCCCGAGGTAACTCCGTCGTGTGCCTCCTGTAACAGTAATTCCCGTAGCAGTGTGTACCCTGGTACCCAGATGCGGTCGGTCCCGGCTTTTACGTAATAGACTCTCTTTGCTGCTGCGAACTGTTGCGAATTTCCTCCTGTGAAGAATGGATCCGTTTGGTACCCGTGGGTAAATAGGCCTGTCAGTAGTGGGCTGGTCTGGGCGAGTAGTATTGCATGGATCTGGGCAGTGGGGCGGGTGAATGCGTCGGCGATGTTCGATGCCCCTTTTTTGTAGGTGACTGTGTAGTGGAAGTTTGACTCGAGGAAATCAAGCCAGCGAATCTGTCGTGGGTTGAGGTGGGGCTGTGCGCGGAGATACTGTAATGATTTATGATCTGTCCGTACTGTCACGTCTGCGCCGGTCAAGTAACAGCGCCAAACCTTGAATGCATGCACGATTGCGAGCATTTCGCGGTCGTGTATCGGGTAATTCTTCTCGGGCGGATGCAGTTTTCGTGACTCGTATGCGATGGGCTGTAAACCGTTGCCGAAATCCTTTAGCAGTACGGCTCCAATGGCGATGTCGCTTGCGTCTGTAACTACTTCGAATGGGCGGTGTGGGTCAGCGATGCGCAGTACGGGCGGTGAGCAGAGAACATGTTTCAGGGCAGAGAAGGCAGCATGCTCTTTCTCCCCCCACGTAAAAGTGACCCCCTTCCGCAGTAAATCCGTCAGTGGGGCAGTTAACCGTGCCATATCGGGGACGAACCGACGCACATAATTAACGAACCCTAAAAAGCTCTGCAGCTCCGTGATGTTCGTCGGGGGGTGCCACGCTTTTACCGTGTCCAGCTTCTTTGGGTCGATTTCAACTCCAGCCTCCGAAATAACGTGCCCCAAAAATTCTAACCTATCCTGGAAGAACTCGCACTTGGAACCCTTGGTCAGTAATCTGTGCTCGTCTAAAACCTTAAATACTGCTTCCATATCTGCTAAGTGCTGCTGCTTATCCCGACTGTAAACTAGGATGTCGTCGAGGTAAACTATCACGCATTTATCTAAGAGCAGCCTAAACGCCTCGTTCATGGTCATCTGAAAAGTCGCCGGTGCGTTGGTCAGCCCGAATGGCATCACGGTGTACTCGAATGACCCATACCTAGTTCTAAATGCTGTTTTTACGCAGTCCGATGGTTCGACCCGAATCTGGTGGTAACCTCCGCGTAAGTCAATTTTCGAAAAGACCCGTGCTGTTCGCAGTTGATCAATCAGTTCGTCGGCGCGGGGAATGGGGTATCGCGACTTCACTGTTACCCTGTTCAGTGCTCTGTAGTCGATACACATGCGAAAACCCCCGTCTTTTTTCGGTGTGAACAGTATCGGTGCGGCGAACGGTGACGAGCTCGGTCGGATGAATTTTTTCTCTAACAGGTAATCTAACTGCTTCCTCAGTCGGAATTGTCGCGGTATCGTTGGCTGTGCCCCCGGTTCTAACTCTATGCGGTGGTCATGTGCCCGCTGAGGTGGCAGTCCTTCTGGTAAATCGTCCGGAAAAATCCCCGGGTACCGTTTCAACAGTTCCTGTAGTTCGGGCGGTACCGCTGCCAACAGTTTCTGAAAATCGCTCGGGTGCTCTGCTTCTCCTACCAATGCTATATCTACTGCGTACACGTCAGCTCCAGCGGCGACAGCCCGTTTCATCGTGATGGCGTTGACGTGGACCTTTGAAGACTCGGGCGACTGCCAGCGAGGTAGCACGACCCAGTTACCGCTACTTCGCACAGTGCAGCTACCCGTCGTCCAGTCGATTCGCGGGTTATACCGTCGCAGCCAATCACGTCCCAGTAAAATGTCGTGCCCATCCAATGTCGTCGCGAGCATTTCCTGTGTAAACCCAAAGTTCCCCCCCGCAGCGGACTTTTACTCTCTCCACCTTCTCCTGTATGGCCAGCGGCGTTCCGTCCACTAAGCGTGCATCTATTTCCGGTAAACACCGACTAAGTGTCAGTTGCAGCTTCCGTGCGGTTGCGGTATTAACTAAGCTGTGGCTTGCTCCTCCGTCTATAAAGATCTTCA